TCGCGCTTTTTCTACCCCAAAGTGACCCGGGGTAACCCCATCGTGTGCCTCATGCAGTAACAATTCTCATAGCAGTAAATATGCTAGTACCCAGATGCGGTTGGTGCTTGCTTTTACATAATAGACTCCATTTACTTCTGTCAGTTGCTGCGAATTTCCCGTGGTGAAAAATGTGTCGATACTGTGTCCGTGGGTAAATAGGCCTATTAGAAGTGGGTTGATTTGGGCGAGTAGGATGGCCTGAGGTTGGGCAGTGGGGCAGTAAGGGCGTCTGCGATGTTTGATGCTCCCTTTTTGTACGTGACGGTTTAGTCGAAGTTGGACTCCAGATAGTTCAACCACCGTATCTGTCGTGGGAACACGACATGCAATGAAATTACGATTGGCCCGGCATGCTGTCGACGTGCAGCAACACGTGACAACCTGCCCGACCTGCCAAGTAATGAAGTCGTCGCGACAACGACCAGCTAGATTGTTGCAGCCCCTCGAGCCACCCAAACAACCGTTAAAGATACGTAACGATGGATTTTGTCACTGGGCTGCACTAGTGGAAGTGACAAGGATTCAGTTCTAGTCGACGTTGACCGTTTAACAAATATGGTGCATTTTGCACCATGCCGCACGACCATAACAGCAAAAAATACACCTACACGGGTTACCTTCGGCGATCATCAGTGAGCAAGACCCAAAATTCACGTCAAATTACTGGCAGGAGACGTGGCCATAGAAATCACAAATCAGGCAAAGAAGCAGCTTATTCGCACCAACTGCCCCGTCCTGACCAAGGGGAGGACCCGCTCCCGATGTTGGAATTTGCATAAAATAACGCATACTCCACGACGACTAACCAATCCCCGTTTTGCCTGAATTATAGAATAGACCCTGTGGTACCATTATCAACGATTCTCGACAATCTGGTACCGCGTTCGCAGTGATTCGTCAGGGAATACCAGGCAGCTCGCGGCAAAGCAACATAATTTATCCAGAAAGCAAATACTCTCGCTAGCCGCAATGCTGATAAGCATTGAATGAATTTACCCTACCACAGTGGACACATGGTCCTCTTGGACACAAAAAATCTTTGGCTGCCCCAGCCGGCGAAGCTTCGTCTCCGCTACTTGGGACCCTTCCGCAACGTCAAGATATTGACACCTGTCATGACGAAGCTGTTACTGCCGAACGACTAAAATTTTCTGACGCGTTTTACGTTAGCCTGCTATGTCATTATGCTCCACCATAGTCGCCCGACGTCGCCCGCCCCAACGTCGTGCCAAGTGTTCGGCATGTGGCAGACCCGCTACTCCTGAATCATCGCGTGCATGTAACGCCGAAAAGAGGTCATGTCGATTTCCTGTTGTAATTGGTCAATTGGATACGTGGGTCAGGCACGACTCACTACGATGTCATTTGGTACTACGGGACTACCTTTTCCGCCACCGCTGGGCTGATATCGACCTTTCTTAAAGGGAGGGGGAGGAGGGGAAGTTGAAGGATTTTTTCTAACTCCTTACTAAGACACTTTATGCGCGTACAACTCCAACTTTTGGAGATAAAGGCTCGGTCCGATGACCTCGCCCTTCGAACGTCCCTCTCGTCGCCTTCAGGTTTTCCAACCCCGAACTTGCACCCAACCATTCGCGGTCCCGCGAATCCAGCCTAACTAATCTTTGATATACATGTAATAGAGTCAATTATTTGCGCAGTAGTTGTTCCCACTTCCGTGTTATTGCATTCTGCGCACTCTTATTTCGTAAATCTCGTACCACCAAGAACATATGGTAACCGTTACAATATGTTTCACACCTGTAGTAACTCCCTTTATATGTTTCATCACGACATACTGGCTAATGGTCACACTAATGTTGACTACGCTAAATGATTTTTTATTAGGTAAGCCAAAATATAGCACTCACGTCGTCTTCGTGGATTCCATTTTTTCATATCCAACAGACCAACAATTTCAAACATTTTTATTACTCCACTACATTACTGTATAATTCTATTTGAAAAAAGGGTCTTAGCCGCACATTTTAATATATTTGATTACTGGGCTGGTATGGGCGAGTAATATTTCGCATATTTGGGCAATCACACGGTGTAAGCTATGGCTTATTTTGTTGAGATATTCTTGTAAATAGGTGCATAATAGAAGTTGGATTCTATATAAAACAACCAAAGAATATGTTGCGGGTTTCGACGAAGTTGTGCGAGAACGTGATATAGTAGATCTACAAGTGTTATAACATCCGTGCTTGCCATGTAGCTCGTAATATTTAGAACCGATTAATCATGGTGAGCACAATTCAATATGTATCAGATTGTAGCATACCAGATATATCATTCGCTAGGTTCACATGTTAGGGTGCAGTAAATTAAATATAAAACTATGAAATTTTGAGCCAGTCCCTTTTGTTCGTTTGTTCCTTCAATACCGCGCCCGTAATAATTACGTGGATTTAGGGGGAATTCAATTACAACAACATTTCTTCTAAGCGTTAAATAATTATAAAACTAAACCCAAGAGTTAGATGAAGGTTTTATACTTCTATTACAGACCTTGCTAGATGAAGTTTGTGTAGTGTTTTCTATGGTGGTTAAATTGGAAAGCAATGGTGAATATTTAGCCATTGGGTTGGAGGGTAGGGTGGTATAGTCTGGAAACAATAGTTTTTTGCAGGCTGGTGACAAAACCCCCCTTCGTGCAGGACAGGATACAGCTGCCTTTTCCAGGGAACTGTAGATCACCACCACCACCACCGCCCCCGTCACTGTCGCTGTTGCGGTTGATTATGTACTGTACCCATGTGGACGAGTTGACTGGAGGACATGAGAGGCGGGCTCACAGCTTCGACAGGTTCGGTGGCAGCGAGGCACAGTTGCGGTGGTAGAGGAGGTTAATGGCTTCCCGATTGATTGAAACCGCCTGTAACCGTACTAAAAAATTTGAATACATATTTTCCAGCCTGCAGAACTACATAACCAAGGTTTAGAAGGCTACGGATTCCGGAATCATGCGCACAACTACAGTTGCACCACCAGATCCCGGCCCCACCGACATTGCAGGAGGATATGCCAAGCCATGGCACCCACCCCACCACACATCTTGCAGCTTCAGTTACTTGACCTTTCATGGCCTCAGGCAAATTTGTAACCAGACCAGATGCCTTTTCATGGTTGGGAATTTTTGCGAAGGGTCATATTTGTTCGTTCACAATTGACTTGGAGATGTTCATTTTGGTGCGCAATGGTCCAAAGCGGTGAAAGTCAAATCCCACTCTCAATCGTTTGAACGTACTGAACCACGTCGAACCATGAACGGAGATAATGTAGCTCGTCGAAAGAACGTCGAAAGGTGAAACGAGGGGAGCACTTCAAGAAGACATCAACACCCCTCCGCCATCTGCGGCCATCGCAACAGGACCTATGTATATCACTTATCACCCGTCCGAGCTTGGTTTGTAATACTGTAGTAATAGCAGTACCCTGCAGCCAGAATCTTACCTTTCACGTTTACCGCGTCGTCGCAATGCCTCACAGGAAGTTAAAACGCTTCTTTAGCGGAAGGGTCCGCGACGATCGCGCGACGGAATCGACACACGCCGGCTCGCTATGGCGAGCCGTCGCTTCCGTGAGTCGAGCAGATACTTCCGGAGTTTCTCTAGGAACAGCTGGCGCTTCTGGAGCGCGAGCAGTGGCTGATTCGGAGAATAATTCAGAGTGTCTCGTAAATTCGCCGGACGAATCAGAAACAGTAGTAGCAGCAGTAGTAGCATCCAGGCAATCAGCGCATCGACGCGGCCGCGTCAATGTTGGGCAAGAGGCAGTACCGCACGGAAATTACGTCGATCAACGCGACTGTTTCTCGACGGAGATTTCCACAATAAGCGCCGATGATTGTCGGCGTCTGCCAGACGATGGGCTGGGAAATCGCGGAGCCGCCGATGGTAGTACCAGTCCTTGTAGTAGCAGTAGCGCGAATCGCAGCCATAATAGCGCCCGCAGCGTCTCCTGCTGCGCGCCGATGATCCGACGCCGCCGCGACCGTTGTTCAGTGAGTCATGACAGCGACGAAGATTCGCGGGACGGCGGGAAGAGAGCAGGAAAACGACGAAATGGCCGATCACGCCGACGAGGTATGTCGCAGCCTGCTGAGAACGTAATACACCCGGAAGAAAGATGGTACGAGAAGCAAGTACGGAGACAATTACCGTTCACGCGACGTCACTGTCACACCGTAAAACTTACGGTACTGTGACAGTGTGACAGTGACAATTACCGTACGGTACGGAAGGCAGGCTATAGAACTTGTATGTTGGAGTTGCTTTTGAGAATTCTCAAAAGCTATTGACCTCTTCCCCTCCTAGCCACTGGCTCTGGCGTTCCTTTGCGTGAGAGACGGCGGTCTTCTCGCATCTTCCTTCGTCTGGGTCATCTCAACCCCCCGTCTCAGCGTCACTCCTCTCAGCGTCCCTCCTCTCAGCGTTCCTTCGTATTCGCGTCCCGTTAACCTCAAATTCCCGCTCGCCATGCCCCCCCAGGCCATCCGCCGCTTGCTCAGCCAGCGCCTCACAATCCTGTTTTCCTTTGCTGTCCGAGTGATCATCTATGTTGGAGTCGCTTTTGAGAATTCTCAAAAGTGACTCTATTACAAACCCCGCAAGCGCGGACAGCACCTCACAATCCTGTTCCCCTTTGTCGCCCGAGCGAGTCTCTTTTGAGAATTCTCAAAAATAGCTCCCGGCCACCCGCCACTTGCTCAACCAGAGCTTCACAATCCTGTTTCCGTGCCGTCGTGTTTTGAGACGTCTCAAAACACCTGCCACTTGCTCAACCAGCGCCTCACAATCCTGTTTCCGTGCCCTCGGAGCGTTCAATATCGTTCTCGGCGTGGCCGTGAGCCGTTGATCCGACTCAGATGTCATGCTCGCTCCACTCCGTCTCTCCTGTCCCACCCTCCTCTCCTCCCCCCCAGTCACACTGTTCCACGTGTTAATCGCTTTATGGATTCTGATCGGCGTGGGCGTGTGCGTGTGGCGGTTCGTGGCAAGGCAGTACCAGTGGCACGGGGAGCGGCGGGGGGAGCTGAGGCAATGGTGTTCGCAACGAGCGATAATGCTGGAGCAGCAGCTGCTGGCGCACACCGGGCAGACGCAGGTGAGTGAATCAGAGAGGAGGTGCATGGAATTCCTTGGGTGAGGTGAGGTAATTCTGATGTTACGGGGAGCGGCAGGTTCTTGAGGCGCCTCAAAAATTCCTTGGGTGAGGTGAGGTAATACTGATGTTATGGGGAGCGGCAGGTTTTTGAGGCGCCTCAAAAATTCCTTGGGTGAGGTGAGGTAATACTGATGTTATGGTATGGGGAGCGGCAGGTGGAGGTGAAGCGATGGTGCTCGCAGCGGGCGATAACGCTGGAGCAGCAGCTGCTGGCGCACACAGGGCAGACGCAGGCGAGTGAAAAGATAAGGCCCAATTACATGTCTTGGGCACATCACATGCCAGCTCTCCTCCCTCTCACACCCGTTCCTTGTGACTTCTCCAACGCACGCATACTCCTCCCCCCCCCCCCCCTTCCTCCCCGCATCCCCCCAATGTGCAGACGCTGGCAGGTTTGGTGTCGTCCCTGGGTCGCATGACTGAGGACGGCCAATGGGCGCTGGACACGTGTCTCTCTGAGAGGCGTTGGCTGGCGTATCTCAGCCAAACCAAGTCCACCCGGCCTGGAGGCGCTGAGGCGTTTGCGTGTCTCTATGTCACAAATGCCCAGAGGTCAGTCAGTCAGTGCATGTGTCTCCATCACTGGTGCCCGTGGGGGAATTTTTTTTAGAGCTCTCTAAGATTGTTTCCGTGGCTTTGCGTGGAACTATGCCTCCATCACCTATTCTGCTCCCTACTTCCTGCTCTCCCATGCGTTGTTCCCTCCCGTGCTTCTCTCTCCCTCCCCCCAGGCGTGTCTTTGAGCGGCGGAACAACGCCTCGATCACCGATGCGTTCACCGCCCTGCCACGCATGCCTGCTCCAATCTACTGCCCCAAGGTACGCGTCCGAGCTTGCCTGTTCTTAAGGCGCCCGAAATTGCGTACGGAGGTTTGCTGATGCAGATGGAAGGTTGCAGTTACCGCACCTATATCATTTTCCTCCCTCACCACTTCCTTGCACCGCTCCCCACCCCACCTCCACCCCTCACCACTCCCCCTTCTCCAGGTGCTGGACGTGAACAGTGAGTCAGGGGCTTCTCTCCTCCCAGCCGCCCTCCAGGCCTTCCCCTCAGAGCTTGCTCTCGTGCATGCCTTAGCCAAGGAGGCTATCGCTCCGTCCCGACACACCTCCGCACTGACCACTCACCACTCCCTCTCACCGTTCTCCCCCGCTCACCCACTCCCCACCCCCAGGGTCCTAGATGTAGACATGGAGTCAGGGGCTGCTCTCCTCCCAGCCGCCCTGCAAGCCTTCCCCTCGGAGCTTGCTCTCGTGCATGCCTCAGCCAAGGAGGCTATGGCTCCGTCCCGCCCCCCATCACCTCCACCCACCACCAGGTGCTGGACTTGGACAGCAAGTCAGAGGCTGCTTTCCTGTCTGACGCCCTGCAGGCCTTCCCCTCAGAGCTTGCTCTCGTGCGTGCCTCAGCCAAGGAGACATTCACGCTGCCCTACGCCACCACCGCCACTAGCACTGCTGGTCTGGGTGAGTATCAATCAAGGAGTGGGTAAGCGCAGCTCTGTCAACCTGCATTGATTGACTTGAAATGACCAACCTGAACTTGCTAAACTCAAAATAACTTCACGAGCTACTTAAGTTCCTCTTTGCATTCTTCTCACCCATCCCTCCCTCCTCGTTCGCTTTATATCATCAACCCACAACACCTTCTTCCTTCCATTTTCCTCGACCTCTCCCCCCCCTATCACCACACCAGGGGTGGTGTTCCCGGTGCTGCAGCAGCACCCCTTCCCCACGTCCCCCTTGCAGCAGCAGCAGGCACAGGCAGCAGTGGTGGGAGCAGTGACCACCACCATCAACCTCACTGCTGTCGTGCAGAGCGTGCTCGCTGAGATCTTCTCATCCTCCACTCCATCCACACGTGAGTAGCTGTGTGTCTGTGTGTGTGTCTGTGCGCGCGCGACATGGTTGGCCCCAGGTGATCGGAACCGCACTGCTGTCGTGCAGAGCGTGCTCGCTGAGATCTTCTCATCCTCCACTCCATCCACACGTGAGTAGCTGTGTGTCTGTGTGTGTGTCTGTGCGCGCGCGACATGGTTGGCCCCAGGTGATCGGAACCGCACTGCTGTCGTGCAGAGCGTGCTCGCTGAGATCTTCTCATCCTCCACTCCATCCACACGTGAGTAGCTGTGTGTCTGTGTGTGTGTCTGTGCGCGCGCGACATGGTTGGCCCCAGGTGATCGGAACCGCACTGCTGTCGTGCAGAGCGTGCTCGCTGAGATCTTCTCATCCTCCACTCCATCCACACGTGAGTAGCTGTGTGTCTGTGTGTGTGTCTGTGCGCGCGCGACATGGTTGGCCCCAGGTGATCGGAACCGCACTGCTGTCGTGCAGAGCGTGCTCGCTGAGATCTTCTCATCCTCCACTCCATCCACACGTGAGTAGCTGTGTGTCTGTGTGTGTGTCTGTGCGCGCGCGACATGGTTGGCCCCAGGTGATCGGAACCGCACTGCTGTCGTGCAGAGCGTGCTCGCTGAGATCTTCTCATCCTCCACTCCATCCACACGTGAGTAGCCATGCATGTGTGTGTGTCTCTGCGCGCGCGTGCATGATATGGTTGGGCCCAGGTGATGGGAACCGCACTGACATCGTGTAGAGCATGTTCTCTGAGATCTTCTCATCCTCTACTCCATCCGCCCGTGAGTACAATCGCTCTCAGACCGATCATTTGAGCTCTACGATACCACAGACCCTGCCTCCCCGCTCATGTTCACAGGCCCCACGCCGCTGCTCTTTTCTGCCCTTGCCTGCTTCTCTTCTCTTGCCTGCTTCTCTTGCCTGCTCCTCACCTCACCTTCCCCATTCCGTATCCTTCCCTCCCTCTTGTCGTCACCTTCCTCCCATCCACTCTCCGACCGATCTTTCGAGCTCTACGATACGACAGACCCTGCCTCCCCGCTCATGCTCGCAAGCCCCACGCTGCTGCCCTTTCCTGTTGCTCTTGCCCTCTCCTCACCTCACCTTCCATTTCTCATCTCTCCTCCCCCTTTCCTCCCATCCAGGCTCCGACCGATCATTTGAGCTCTACGATACGACAGACCCTGCCGCCCCGCTCATGCTTGCCGGCCCCACGCCGCTGCTCTTCCAGCCGCAGCCCGGCCAGCCGGTCGCCCCGCTGCTGCCGCTGCCCCCCTCGGTGCTGCGCGTATGGGAGAAGCGGGCAATTGTGAACCTCACGCTGCCAAGTGCTGGGCCCAGGCGCTACCAAGTGTGGTGCAGGTGGGTGGATGGGTGGGTGTGCTGGGGCAGACTTTCAAGGCGCGTAATGAATATAGCTAGCATTGTGGGGTTGGGTGGAAGGGAGTGGTTCCACTCAAAATGGACATACCTGAGGCCTAATCTCTGGATTTACACTGCTTCCTATCATGTTCATGTAGCATATTGAGCAAGCGGAGAGGAATGAGGCACTGCTGGAGAGGGGAGCTCACCTGCCTGAAAGGATTCTCAGGTGGAGCAGATGAGAGCTGAGATGGCGGAGCTGAGTCGTCAGCTGGCTGAGAGAGAGGTTTGATTGGGGCAGACGAGAGCTGAGATGACGGAGCGAGATGTACAATTGGAGCAGAAGAGCGCTGAGCTGAAGGCAGTGATTGCGGAGCGAGACCACCTTTGAGAGGTAGGCTCAGGAGGGGAGAAATGGCAGGGGACGGCCTAAGAAATCACTGGAAGCGAGACCACCTTCAAGGGTTAGGCTCCCCAGCACCCACTCAAATGCTCCCCAGCACTTACTCTTAGGCCGCCCGCCGCCATTTCCCCCCTCCTGAGCCTACCCCTCGAAGGTGGTCTTGCTCCGCAATCACTGCCTTCAGCTCAGCGCTCTTCTGCTCCAGTTGTACATCTCGCTCCGCCATCTCAGCTCTCATCTGCCCCAATCGAACCTCTCTCTCAGCCAGCTGACGGCTCAGCTCCGCCATCTCAGCTCTCATCTGCTCCACCTGAGAATCCGTCTCAGGCAGGTGAGCTCCCCTCTCCAGCAGTGCCTCATCCCTCTCCGCCTGCTGAATACGCTACATGATCTGGATAGAAAAATGTGTAAATCCAGAAATTAAGGCTCAGGTATGTCCATTAGCTAGTCCGTTTTGAGACGCATAGAAACACGATTCAGTGTTGTTCCGGTGGGTGGGTGGGTGGGCTGGAGTCTGTGTGTATGTATTTTAGCTGGTAGCCTCCCCACCCCCCTCTCTCTGTCTCCCACTGTGTGCCTGTTTCTCTCCCTCGGTTCTGACCCAGCAGGTTCACGGAGCCCCCCTCTTGGTTTGTTGAATACAGAATGCCCATCCTCTGGACGCTGCTGGTGCTGGCGCTACTGGTAACCCAATCCCCCCCTGTCCCTCCCACTGTACGCCCCAACCGATTCACGGAGCCGCCATCGCGGTTCATGGAGTATGGAATGCCGACCCTGTTCACACTGCTGGTGCTGGCGATAGTGACCCGATTCCCCCCTGCATGTCCGTTCTCTCCCACTTGTTTCCAGACCAGGTTCACGGAGCCCCCCTCTTGGTACATAGAGTATGTGATGCCGACCCTCTTCACCCTGCTCGTGCCGGCGCTGGTAGCGCTGGTGGCGGTGGTGGCGGTGGTGGCGTGCCCGCAGCGGCGCCAGTACGAGCAGAGCCGGCAGGCAGGCAGGCAAGCAGCAGCAAAGTGGTTACCCTGTGCTTGTTCCATCTAGTAACCTGATCTCCCCCTGTTCTCTCCCTCCCGTTTTGTCCCAACAGGTTCACGGAGCCCCCGTCTCGGTTTGAAGAGTATGTTCCGCCGACCCTCTTCACCCTGCTGGTGCTGGCGCTGGTAGCGCTGGTGGCGGTGGTGGCGTCCCTGCAGCGGCGGCAGTACGAGCAGAGCAGGCGGGCAGCAGTGGAGGCGGATGCGATGAGGGCGGAGGCGGAGGGGGCGGAGAGGAGCAAGAGCTGCTTTGTCGCGAGCATGACTCATGAGCTGCGCACTCCCATGCTTGGCATCATCGGTATGGGCTGCTGATGGAGTCTCATGGGGTGATTGGTATGGGCATGATTGGGGTGGGTTTGGGAAGGAAGCGGAGGGGGACGAGGGAGGTGGAGGGGGCAGGCAGAGAGGAGCAAGAGCTGCTTTGAGCACAGCCCGTTCTCTGCGCCTTTTGAGGCGTCTCAAAAGTCGTCAAGAGCTGCTTTGAGCACAGCCCGTTCTCTGCGCCTTTTGAGGCGTCTCAAAAGTCGTCAAGAGCTGCTTTGAGCACAGCCCGTTCTCTGCGCCTTTTGAGGCGTCTCACGCTGCTTTGAGCACAGCCCGTTCTCTGCACCTTTTGAGGCGTCTCAAAAGTCGTCAAGAGCTGCTTTGAGCACAGCCCATTCTCTGCGCCTTTTGAGGCGTCTCAAAAGTCGTCAAGAGCTGCTTTGAGCACAGTCCGTTCTCTGCGCCTTTTGAGGCGTCTCAAAAGTCGTCAAGAGCTGCTTTGAGCACAGCCCGTTCTCTGCGCCTTTTGAGGCGTCTCAAAAGTCGTCAAGAGCTGCTTTGAGCACAGCCCATTCTCTGCGCCTTTTGAGGCGTCTCAAAAGTCGTCAAGAGCTGCTTTGAGCACAGCCCGTTCTCTGCGCTAAAGGTGAACCATGTGCTTGACCTGTCTAAGCTGCATCTACTCCCTTCCCCTTCCCCTGTGCCCCACCCATCCCAGGCATGCTAGACGTGCTCTCGGACTCACATCTTTCTAGCAACCAGCTCTCAGACTTAAGCACAGCGCACACCTCTGCCCTCAAGGTGCTGAAGCTGGTGAACCAGGTGCTGGACCTCTCCAAGCTGGAGGCGGGGCGGCTGCAGCTGGAGCCGGGCGGGTTTGACGTGCACGCGTGGGTGGAGGGGGAGGTGGGCTGGCGGTGGGCGGAGGCGCAAGAGAGGAACTTGCACTGTGAGTCTGCGGCTTGTTTCATACAGGAACTGGGGCGGGGGAGAAACAGAATTGGTTCGAATGAGAATAGGCTTGAATTGCGAGGGTTTGGACCTCTCCAAGCTGGAAGCTGGGCGGGGAATGTCTACTGTAAGTATGCCAGCTGTTTCAAGGAGGGTTCTTGAAAGAGAGAGGGGGGGGCGAACATGAATTATGAGCGCTCCCTTCCCTTTTTTTTTCCTGCATCTAACACCTATGAATATGTGCATGCTTGTGAGCAGTGGCAGCAGTAGTGGACGCCGATGTGCCGCCTCAGCTGGTGGGGGATCAACTGCGCCTCGCCCAAGTGCTCTCTCAAGTCATGGGTGGGTGCTCACTTACTTGTCGCCTCTTCTGTTCAGTTTTTGAGGTGCCTATCAGAGTCTATCACAAGTCAAGCCATGGATGGGCTGTTCAGTTCGGATGTCTGGCCAGCTCGTTTACATGTGGTCACTTCTGGTCACTTCTACTCCCTTCTGTTCAATCACTCGGCCGCATCTGTTTTTTTTTTTTTTTTTTCAAGTCAAGCCATGGATGGGTGTCTGGCCAGGCCAGCTCGTTTACACATGGTTACTTCTGGTCGCTCCTAGTTAGCCAGCTAATTTTCATGTCGTGTTGATGGTTCTGTTTGTGTCAGTTGGCCGGCCCTTGTCACAGGGGTAGCTCTGGCTACTGCAGAGTGGATTAGACACAGCAGTTTGCTCCTGTCCCATCCTCCGCTCTCCCAACCCACCTTCCTCCCACCCCTGCTGCAGACTACGCCTTGTCATTCACACCGCACGGGGGCTACGTGCTGGTGCGGGTGGCTGTGGTGGATGCTCATGTGCCCATGGCTCAGCTGGCTCAGTGGAACGGTGAGTGAGAATGCTTTACCAATTCGGTTGTTTTCATATCTGTTGTGTTCTTTAGGCGCCTCAAGAGTTGCCAGTGGCTGTGGCCAATGCGGGCGTGCCCATGGCGCGGTTGGCTCAGTGGAACAGTGAGTGAGAGAAGGCTCTATCAACCTCAGTAGTATTCATGTTATATACAAAAGAAGAACTGTATTGAATTGACACAGCAATGGGTGGAGCTTTGCTCTATCTTCAGACCCCTGAATCTCCTCAAACATCTTTCTTCTCTATGCCTGTCCTCCCCCCTCTTTCTCTGGTACCTATCCCCTTTCCGCAGCATCCCTTTCAGCAGCCAGCAGCCGATGGCGACGACAAATGATAGACCATTGCTCTCTCTAGGATGACTTTTGCATCGTTTTTTACATTCCTCTATCTGCCTTCCTCTCCTCTATCTGCCTTCCTCTCCTCTCTCCCCCTGCCCTCTGCAGCGTCCTGTGCTGCAGCCAGCAGCGCGAGGGTGACTACACTGATAGGCTCAGACGATGTGACTATAACAGGGGATGCTGACGCAGCAGCAGCAGCAGCAGCAGCAACGGCTTGCTTTGCTGGCAGTGCTGGGCTGTGCGGAGAGAAGCAGAGCTGTTGTCAAGCTATGGCTGCTCGCAATACGCTCAATACGCGCAAACGGCCAGGATATGGCAAAAGTAGTGTGTGTGACTGTAGAGGAGTAGAACCATGCAACCTTCGTGGTCCCTGCATACGTGGTAACTGTACAAGCGGCATCAGTGGTAACCGTATTATGGGTGGTAGTAGTAACCATACAGTCCACGTGGATTGTGACTGTCACTACGGCGGAAGAAGGAGAGCAGCAGCAGGCGGGGCAATGCAGCTGGTGGTGACGTGTGAGCACAGCGGGTGTGACAACAGCGAGACCATGAATGGATTCATGTTTCGATTTGAGGTGAGCAGTGACGGTCCATGCGAAGTGAAACAGCAATGATTTCTGAGTCGACAGGGTATTTTTGAGAATTCTCAAAAATACCCTGCAGCATCATGATTTTTGAGTCGACTCAAAACTCATCAAGACGGTCCATGTGAAGTGAAACAGCAATGATTTCTATCTGAGGTGATGAGACAGGGATGACACTGTGGAGGAGACATGTTGAGGTGACAAGTATCTTTGGCGAGGAAACCATTCCCGCCACTTGTGTATGGTAAACCTGAGTACTCGCAAATTGTTCATGGGCAGAGAAAATACAAACCTGGACTTTAGAATGATGCACAGAACTGGCCTTTATGTGTAGCTCGGAGTAGTGACTGCCATGCGTGTGCTTCGGTACGCATTGCTTGTGTTGAGTTGAGTCCGTGTGCATGTGTGTGTGTGTGCACACTTCCAGGAGATGCGTAGCTTGCAGGAGGGAGCTGAGGAAGCTGCTGCGAAGCTCAGCCTTGTGTTAGCTAAGCAACTGGTGAGAGAAGGATGTTTGTTATGTGGCACCTCTAGTAACTTGTTTTTTATACACACATATTTTGCATATGTATGTATATGTATATGTTTATGTATGTGTATTATTTTCAGAAGTCAACTTCTGGTGAAATAGGACTTCCTCTTTGCAAGACATTGGGCTTTCAAGCTCTAGTTCCCCTGTATGGGTCTTGGTCCACATGTTTGACTTTTGAGGCGCCTCAAAAGCTCTAGTTCCCCTGTACGGGTCTTGGTCCACATGTTTTCGCAGTACCATGTATCCTTTTCCTGTTACCGCAATTATATCTGGTCTCGGGCCTTCTACTGCTGTGTTCGTTTTGTGACTGCATGCAGGTGACTCTAATGAAGGGTGACATGAGCTGCAAGGTCGACCCTGTTACAGGAACAGCTTTCACCCTCGCCATACCCATACTCTCTGCTCCACCACAGCTGCCCCAGACAAGCCTTTCTTCAACAGCCCTCCACCAGATCAACCTGTCTCATACAAGCCTGCCCTTTTTAAAAGCCGTTTTTCCGGCTGCCACTCCTGCCACTGCACCTGCTGCCGATGCCGCGCCTTCTGCTCAAGTGGACGGCTGGGAGAACCATGGAACCATGGCCATGGGAGCCATGGTTACCATGATGCTCGGCGGCATGGGACGGGACCTTTCTGCAGACCTTTCTGGAGTGCTGGTGGTGGTGGCAGATGGCCAGCCGGAGAGAGCAAAGGTAACTTGCAGATTCTAGCCTGGAAGCTCGGTGTGTCCAGCCCTCATTACACCGAGGTAGCTGCCTGCTGCTAGGTAGGATTCCGGTGTTATGTTGCTTCCATGCCTCTAGCAACGGCCGCATATGAGCAACCATCCCCCATACTCTCATCCCGTTTGTGTGCAAACCCGCCCTGCCTTCCCTCCCACCAGCTGACCACCCGTGTGTTGGTGCACCTAGGAGCATCCGTGCTGCTGGCAAATGATGAAGTGGCAGCAGCTCGGTACTTACCCGGTGTATTGGTTGGTTCTTCTAAATTCACCGGCCAACCATCCGCCACCATCGTCAATCCCCTGTGTGCCTACCCTCTCGTTCCCCCCCACCAGCTGACTTCCCGTGTGTTGACACACTTAGGAGCATCCGTGCTGCTGGCGAACGATGAACAGGCAGCAGCTTCCTTCTTAGCCGATTCTCACACCTCCCACCAACGATCTTCACGTTCCCACTCGCACCAGCAGCACTTAGTTAAGTTGTGTGGGAAGCAGGTGGTGGTGGTAGTGAGCGGGGAGGCTGGCCTGAAGAGGTTCCAAGAGGCGTTTTCTCAACTGGTGCAACAGCAGCAGCATGAGCAGCAGCAGCAACAAATGGAGCTAGAGGAGCAAGAGCAGAATCGCGCAGTTGTGTGCAGCACAAGTGATCGCAGGAGAAGCAAATTGCACGACTGCATGTGCTGCACGCCACTGCACAGCCCGGCCCTGCCTGGCATCGTGGTGCTTGTAGCAAAAGGGGGCCTTAGTGAAGGGGCCGACGAGGGCACGGAAACTAGGAAGGGAGCTGTTGGTGGTGGGGACAGAGGGGAGCAGCAGGGGGTTGGCATGACAGATGGACAGAAACGTGCTGATGCTTTCACCACTGGCAGTAGTGAGGGGGATAGTGAGGGCACGGAAAATAGTAGGGAAGTTGTTGGTGGTGGAGACAGAGGGGAGCAGCAGGGGTTAGGCATGGCAGATGTAGATGGACGTGCAAATGGCAGTGATGGCAGTTGTGCTGATGCTGCTGCTGAAGCTGAGACTGATGCTTGTTCTGATGCAGGTTCTGATGCTTGTTCTGATGCAGGTTCTGATGCTTGTTCTGATGCAGGTTCCTTTTCTTTTCTCAATAGTGCTGATTGTGCTGATGCTGGTGGTGCCGAAGCTAGTGGTGGTGCCGAAGCTAGTGGTGGTGCCGAAGCTAGTGGTGGTGCCGAAGCTAGTGGTGGTGCCGCAGATAGTGGTGGTGCGGAAGCTAGTGCTGCTGTCAACGCTGACGCTCATGCTGATGCTGATTCTGATGCTGATACCAGCAGGCAGAGCGATTTCAAAGAGGCGGCCACGCATGGAGATTCCAGGGAGGAGGGTATCGATGGCCTTTGTATCAGTCGGCTTGAAAGCAGTATCGAGGATAGGGATGAAAGCAATATTGCGGAAGGGCGTGAAAACAATCTGAAGGAGGGAGGTGAAAGCACTGTGGAGGAAGCGGTTGTGGGTGGCAAAGGCATGGTTCCAGTGGTGCTGTGTCAGCGGCCTCTCTTCTCCCACCACCTGCTCTCTGCCATTCAGGTACGCTGCCACCTGCCATTCTTGTCTCCTAAAACTGTATGAATCATCGCACTTCTGATCTACCTGTCTCTTTCCTTGTTTAACGTCTCTCTCTATCCTCTCACTGCCTTCTCTCCGCCCTCTCTTCCTGCCCATTCCTCTCCTTCCTCTCCTCCCTCTCGTCCGTCTCACCTAAACCATAATTCCGCACCAGCACGGCCTCAACAGTTGCACCACCCACCTTCTCATGACTCTCCACCCTCTCATCCCACTTCTCCCTCTCACCCCCGTCCCCCTTCAACCCTGTCCCGCAGACCATACTCCTCCCACCAGCATCGCCTTCACCACCCACCTCGTTATACTTCAACCTCTCGTTAACCTCTCATTTCACTTCTCCCTCTTATCCCTTGGCCTCCCTCTCACCCCTGTCCCGCAGACCATACTCCTACACCAGCATCGCCTGCACCACCCACCTTCTCCCTACCCAGCCGGATCTCAGCAGTCAGCCACCACTGCTACTGCCAATGTCACTGCCTCTGCCGCTGCCGCTGCCACTGCCACTGCTCCTGCTGTGGGCCCAGCCGCTTCCATGCCATCGCCAATAACACTAACAGCAGCACTCACTCCGGCTGCAACCTCTGCTGCTACAGCCTCTGTTGCGACAGCTGTGCCTGCTGCTATCCCCACTGATGCTTCAAGTGGTGCTGGCATTGGCAGTTCTAATGCCGATTGCAGAAAGAGGGTTACATTTATGGAGGGGGGGAGTCGAGGTGGAGGGCCAGCAGGGAGAGGGGGAGCAGGAGGAGTGGGAGCAAAGGAGCGAGCGGCGGCAGCAGGAGAAGGAGCAACCGCAGCAGGAGGAGGGGTTGCGGCAGGTGGAGGGGTTGCGGCAGGAGGAGGGGTTGCGGCAGGAGGAGGGGTTGCGGCAGCAGCAGCAAGAGGAGGAGGAGTAGCAGCAGGAGGAGAAGGGGAAGGGGAGAGTCTGCTAGCTGGGCTGAGAATCATGGTACAACCAATTAACCTCTCTCACTCCACCTGTCAAGCATGTGTTAGCCTCTTATCATCCGGTTTACAACCCGCAACCTGTTTTTTCCGATCCCCCTGTTTCCTTTCTCCTGCTGTTTCACTCCCTACCCGGTGCACGCAAGAGCGCCGCACTCCTACTTAGTGCATGTGAGAGCTCTACGGCTCGAACCTTTCTTACCTTGTGAGAACCTTTCTTACCTTGTGAGAACCTTTCTTACCTTGTGAGAACCTTTCTTACCTTGTGAGAACCTTTCTTACATTGTGAGAACCTTTCTTACCTTGTGAGAACCTTTCTTACCTTGTGAGAACCTTTCTTACCTTGTGAGAACCTTTCTTACCTTGTGAGAACCTTTCTTACCTTGTGAGAACCTTTCTTACCTTGCAACTCGCATTCTGCCCCAACCCGCCCCTCCCTGTCGGTCTCACTAACCTGCCCAATCTCCAGGTGGTGGACGATGCGGCGGTGAATCTGCTGGTGGCGCGCCGCACTCTCTTTCCCCCCAACTTGACCCAACCCACCTCTCCCTGTCTGTCTCGTTCTCCTTCCCTCTCCTGTCGTTCCCTCACCATCAGGTGGTGGACGATGCGGCGGTGAATCTGCTTGTGGCGCGCCGCACTCTCACTCGCAGCGGCGCCACCGTCGCCACCGCAGGCAGTGGGGAGGAGGCGCTGCGGCAAGTCAAGCTCGCTCTGGAGGACACTGCGGGGGCGGTGCATGCACATGTGGATGTGGTGCTCATGGACCTGCAGATGCCCCTCATGGACGGGTGAGTGGCAGTAGGCGGTGGGGCGTTTGGGAGCATGAATGTGCGAGAAGGGTGGACATCACAGGAGGCACATGTGGATATGGTGCTCATGGACCTGCCGATGCCCCTCATGGACGGGTGAGTCGTGTTGTGGGCATGGATGGGAGCGTGGGAGAATTGGGGATTGTGTCGTCCAAGTGGCATGTGCATGTGGTGCTCATGGACCTGCAGATGCCGCTCATGGACGGGTGAGTGGCCTGTGCATTGCTGATGGGTACGTTTTGGGCATGGATGGGTGAGTTGAGTCGCTTGTGTTGGCGGGTGAGAGAGCGAGAGATAGAAAGCTTTACAGGGAGTGGATGTGGTGCTCATGGACCGGTTTTTGAGTCGACTCAAAAACCGACTCATCACACGCGGAGCTTTACAGGGAGTGGATGTGGTGCTCATGGACCGGCGGCGGAGCGCATGCACCTCATGGATGGGTGAGCCATATGCATGGACGGAAGAGTCGTGTTAATGCATGGTCAAAGCCTTGACATGAATGCCGCACTTATCACTTTGACTGACTGCCTGTCTGTGGTGTTTGCCAAGAGTCATTCTTCTCCTCTGCCTCCTCCCAATGCTGAGTGCTCTCCACTACTGTCTCTCTCTGTGCCTCGCGGTCATACCCCCCAGGTTCGCAGCCACAGCAGCCATACGAGCACACGAGCAAGCCCTGCTTCGTCATCCTGCATCTCCACCAGAAGCCACAGCCAGAGCAGCAACGGCAGATGCACAATCATGCACACAAGCATCAGTCAACCCCGTCATCCCTCGGCTCCTCATAGTGGCTCTCACAGCAGATGTGGATGCTGAAATCACTCAGCGCTGCCTTGCAAGTGGTTTTGATGGCGTTTTGCAGAAGCCTGTCGACCCAAAGCTGCTGGCGCAACTGCTGCTCCGGCTTGGTTTCCCAAAGCTGTGTGCGCCAGGCTAGGCCGGAGTACTTAGTTCAAATCCGCCGGCTGTAGTGTGGTACATATGTTCTATGCTCAGTGAGGGAGATCAGTTTTGCTGTGACGTAAATCCATTTATGTTATTAATTACATTGAAGGCCACAGTTTTACATTTGGCTCGTATCACTGTTTCACGCTGTGAAGCGAACTAAGCCGCTCCGGGCTTCACGGAACGCGCCGCGAGGCCAAGCTGACCTCTTCCGGTACTTGACCAGACCAAACCGGACTCCGTCCCCTCTCACCATTCCAGTTTTCATCGAATCCCTAGTTCCATTCAATTCTCTGTTCTGCACGTCGCTCTTCACCAAACTTCCCTCGTCGATTCCTCACGTTTCCGACACCTTCCTTCCACTTCTTCCAATATACCAGTAGGTCATACACCGCCGTTCCTCACTTTCCCGAATCCCGAGCCAGTTTCAGTTCTTCTCACGTCCGCACTTACTCCATGGCAATTTTTCGTTCATGTAGGTTCTCTTGGGTCATGGTTAGCCTATCATTCTAGCAGACTCTACCTGAACGGGTGTGACCAACGATGACTGTCGATTCGAGAGCAGCGCCCCTTGCCAGAAGCTCAGGTCTGTTAGAGGCGGCTTTGTGGAAGCTTTGAGGGCAGCGACTTCTGGGACGACTCACAACACTTCTCAGTTGAAATTTGTTGGATTCGAAACGCAGCAAGCCTGCGACACTTCTGGGACGACTCAGAACACTTCTCTGAAAAACTCATCTAAGAAACTTCTGGACCGTTCTAGGATTTAGTAGGAACGCAACGCCGTCGCCTAATCATCTATCGTGCAATGTGCGGCGAGGGTCGCAACGCCTCGTGCGGCCTGGTTCTTCACGAAAGGTCCCCTGCTGCGAGCAGTGCTGCCACGAGCCTCTCCCCCTTTCAGATCGCTCGTCGGCCGTCGCACACCGTCGCTCGTCGCTCGTGGCGCGTCCTCCTTCTCCTGCTCCTTGCCCTCGCTCTCGCAACCCGCCTTGCTGCCGCGTCTGGTGCGCTCGTGATTTGGGCTCTTCCCCTCTCCCTTTTCCTTCTCCTCTCTCCCCTCTTTCCTTCCCCTCTCCTCTCTCCACTCTCCCCATTTTCCCTCTCCCCTCCCCTCTCTCTTCCCCCTCCTCCTCTCTTCTCTACCCCCCTCCCCCTCCCCTCCCCCCTCTCCGCTCTCCTCTCCGCCTCCTCTCATCACTCCTTTACTTTCTCTTTCCTTCTCTTGTGGCTCTTCACAACGTGCGACTGCTGCCACTCGCTTCTGTTGCATGCATGCCACTCGCTTCTGTTGCATGCATGCCACTCGCTTCTGTTGCATGCATGCCACTCTCATGACTTGCTTTTTGAGGCTGTTCAACAACCTTTGAGTCGACTCAAAAGTCATCTCGCGCATCAGATGATCGTGAGCCTTTTTTAGACTTTTTGGAACTTTTCAACAACCCACTGACGTTTCTCCCATGCAGATGACGAGGCCTCTCCTCCACCGCACGATTCTGGGTCATCAGAAGAATCAACGGCGACCACTGTACCCGAGACGGATGCAAAGCTAGACGCTGGTTCGGATTCCAAGCCTGACGCTAGTTCTGACACTAAGCCTTCCACCGAGCCTGCTTCCGAGCCTGCCCCTGCCAACAATTTATCAAATTGTAGTTCAAGTGAGTGTCATAGATTTCTCTCCTTTAGAAGGCGATTCCACCATGCCTTATTGTCCATCCCCTTGCGGCATAAACTTACTTTCTCCCTCTGATGTTATTTCCATCCATCCATCCATCCATCCATCCATCCATCCATCCATCCATCCATCCATCCATCCATCCATCCATCCATCCATCCATCCATCCATCCATCCATCCATCCATCCATCCATCCATCCATCCATCCATCCATCCATCCATCCATCCATCCATCCATCCATCCATCCATCCATCCATCCATCCATCCATCCATCCATCCATCCATCCATCCATCCATCCATCCATCCATCCATCCATCCATCCATCCATCCATCCATCCATCATCCATCCATCCATCCATCCATCCATCCATCCATCCATCCATCCATCCATCCATCCATCCATCCATCCATCCATCCATCCATCCATCCATCCATCCATCCATCCATCCATCCATCCATCCATCCATCCATCCATCCATCCATCCATCCATCCATCCATCCATCCATCCATCCATCCATCCATCCATCCATCCATCCATCCATCCATCCATCCATCCATCCATCCATCCATCCATCCATCCATCCATCCATCCATCCATCCATCCATCCATCCATCCATCCATCCATCCATCCATCCATCCATCCATCCATCCATCCATCCACCCACCCACCCACCCACCCACCCACCCACCCACCCACCCATCCATCCATCCATCCATCCATCCATCCATCCATCCATCCATCCATCCATCCATCCATCCATCCATCCATCCATCCATCCATCCATCCATCCATCCATCCATCCATCCATCCATCCATCCATCCATCCATCCATCCATCCATCCATCCATCCATCCATCCATCCATCCATCCATCCATCCATCCATCCATCCATCCATCCATCCATCCATCCATCCATCCATCCATCCATCCATCCATCCATTCACTATCCCTTTCCCACACCCTCCCCCGTCCATTCTGCCCCCCAATTCCCTGCATCCCTCCACCCCCTCCCCCAGACGACACCCCCAGCCCATGGGTCTGTCCTTGCAATAACATTTACTGAAGCAATGCGGGTACCTTTCTCCTTCCAAACCCCTGCGCCCTTCCACCCCCTTCCCCAGACAACAACCCCCCAGTATGGGTCTGCCCCTGCAATTCCTCCTTCAACCCATCACCCACCCAACCTCCTAGCACCTCCATCCCCACTATAGACATCGCCTTTAAGGGCGAGTTTGGGTACGAACTGATTGCAGTTCTGCCGCACGCCTACTGGCATTTCCTCAACGGAACTCTCAGATCCACCAGGGCTTGTGCCTCTCCTCTTTCTCTCCTCTACTATTTCAGCCCAAACCTCTCCACAGACCCAGACTGTAAACGCTCCAACGATTACAATTACGTTATTAAACAGTACGGTTTCACCAAGGGCCTTCATTATAGTGACATTCCGCAGTATTGGCATCCCCCTCCGTTAGTGCACCGGACACGGGAGCTGGGGCGAGTGTGGCTGGATGTTCCTGTAGGGGGGGCTCCGCTTGTGATTATAAGCAACAAGTATGAGGTTGAATGGGCAGAACCGCCCACCAATTTCATTGATGTCCCGACCCTCGTTACAATTGCACGCGAGTTTCTCGATAAGGGGTATTATGTGGTGTATAACCGGCCTGGGAATTCGATCAACGCAGACCCGGAGCAAGGAGACAGGCTTGATTTGGGGGACCACCCGAGGCTGGCTGAGGAGTTTGGTTCGGAGGCTCGGTTCCGAACCATGCAGCAGATTCACGAGGCTTGGCCGAGCCTAAGTTTCAACGAGGTTCAGTTTCGAATGATGGCCCGAAGCTCCTGTTTCATCAGTGTGCAGGGGGGAACATCTGTACTATCCAGCTACTGGGGTGGGCAGAATATTATACTCTATCGCAAGGAGTGGGAAGGTCCGGGTAGGTCATATGAGAGGATATATCATAGATTGTCAGGGCAAGGATAGAGGTGACTAGGACGAATGAGGTTCTGCTAGAGAGAGTGCAGGATATGATTCGACAGGCCCAGTGCCAAGCGGTGTGATGCTTCAAGTTACACCTGGCCTTTCACCTGACCTGAGCCCTGAACCCTGAAGCATAACCGTGCGTACACTATGTACCTATCTCTTTCTGTGAGTGCTTCGTTATAAGCCCAGCAACTGGTGGCATGCTTTCAGCAACTTGCAACAAAACCAGTTTCACTGGTAGAGGCATGCCCTGACAAGCCCTGCCATCCACCTCCCTAATACCTAGGTGTTATTAATTACCCACTCAAGTTGAAAACCGTGTTTACACGTATCCTTCTATTAAGGAAATGATGGTGCAGGACCATCACTTCCCCCATGCGTATAACACGTGCAATGTGCACTAGCAAATTCCGGTTCAACTACCTGGTTTTAATACCCTGAAGCATGAAGAACAAGACACATTAGGCACCTTGTTAACAATTATATACAGCGTAATTAGCTCCAATCCAGGGTGGTGTAACAATGGCTTCTGCCGAAGCCCCTCCTGCCCCTCCTGCTCTACTGCTGCTGAGGCCTTGGCGTTTTCCCTCGTACTTACGGTACTTGTCTATTCGCTCTGGTTGTGCTTACTAACAATCAACACCAGCGCACAGACCACAGACCCAGTGGCCTTAACTGCAATCACAATTACTGCTGCTGCTGCTGCTGCTGCTGCTGCTGTTGCTGCTGCTGTTTATGCTCTTGCTGCTGTTGCTCCAGCTTCGCCCGACGCTGCACCAGCATAGACGACAGCACAGCAGGCAGGCACGACCACACCACCAGCCGTGGTGGCAATCTCCGGCACCCGCGGCACCCACTGATCCCGCACCATCACAAAGTAACTTACTGCTGCTGACCTGCTTCTGCTGCTGCTGCTGCTGCTGCTGCTGCTGCTGCTGCTGCTGCTGCTGCTGTTACTTCTACTGCTTTTCCTGCTGCTGCTGCTCGTTCTGCTTCTGCTGTTGCTCCACTTCCCCTGGCTGCACAAGCCTAGGCGGCAGCACAGCGGGCACCACCACACCAGCAGCTGTAGTAGCAATTTCCGGCACCCGCGGCACCCACTGATCGGGCACCATCACAAAGTACGTCTGCATGGCCTTCCGGAACCGTTTCTTGTAGTTCGATGGAGATATGACCGTCGGTGTAGAGTCCTTGCCTGCCCCGCCGCCCCCTAGAAGCCCAGACGCCTTGACCCATGTTTCCAACTGCTTGTCCCATGTGTAGGGGCGGATAAAGTCTATGATTCCCACCACCAGTGTTGACCGCTCCTCTTCTACCCCCACCAACAGCGAATAGTCCATAATTGCGTGCTTCTGCGTGTGGGAAAAGGGAAGGGAGCGGGTGGGAAACGGGAAGGGAGAGCAGGCAGGAAGGGATGGTGTGTGCAAGATATCAGGAGCAGCCCAGATGCCTCGCCTTGACCCATGTTTCCAGCTGCTTGTCCCATGTGTAGGGGCGGATGAAGTCTATGATTCCTACCACTAGCGTTGATCGCTCCTCCTCCACCCCTACCAGTAGCGAGTAGTCCATTATTGCATGTTTCTGGAGGTGGGGGAGGGGGAGCAGGTGGGAAGGGATGGTGTGTGTGGGGAATCAGGGGCAGTCCAGACGCCCAGACGCCCAGACGCCTTGACCCACGTTTCCAACTGCTTGTCCCATGTGCAGGGGCGGATGAAGTCGATTATCCCCACCACCAGTGTGGATCGCTCCTCTTCTACCCCTACAAGCAGAGAATAGTCCACTACGTTCCCTTCCCCATCTCCAGTCCACTACGTTCCCTTCCCCATCTCCAGTCCACTACTGCGTGTTTCTGGAGATGGGGAATGGAACGGAACAGGTGGAGAGGGGTGGTGAGTGAACCATTACATTTGTACCTGATTCTCAACCGGTCTCAGCCATTCTCAACCGCTCTCGTACCACCGCGAGGAAGGCAAAGTCGTTCCAAACGTCCTGCTCTCAACCGCTCTCAACCCCTCTCATCTCGTCTCACCGCGAGGAAGGCACACGGCCCGCTCCAGCAGCTGCTTGGAGGTCAACACCTACCCCACCCACCTGATTCTCAAACTGCTCTCAATCGTCGTCAATCCCTCTCGTCTCACCGCGAGGAATGCAGTGTCGTTCCACACAGCACGCTCCAGCAGCTGCTTGGAGGTCAACACCTACCCCACCCACCTGATTCTCAAACTGCTCTCAACCGCTCTCAACCCCTCTCGTCTCACCGCGAGGAATGCAGTGTCGTTCCACACAGCACGCTCCAGCAGCTGCTTGGATCGTTTTCCCACGAAGATGGGCGACGTGGGCATGGCTTCCAGAAGGTTCTCGTCCAGCAGTACCTGGGATGATGGAGGGGAACAAGGGAAATGGGGAAAGGGGGATGAGGGATTCGGGGCTTAGGGGAGGCATGACGTGGGCATGGCTTCTAGAAGGTTCTCGACCAGCAGGTATCTGATATGAGAGGGCGTGGGGGGGAGGTGGGTTTGCGGAGGAGAATGAGAAGGGAGAGGAATTGCAACAGAGAGTGGAAGGTGGGCGACATGGGCATGGCTTCTAGCAAGTTCTCGTCCAGCAGTAACTGGGGTGAGGAGAGAGGGGGCGGAGGGAAGAGAATGGGAAAGAGACGGGGGAAACGAGGACTTGATGTGGGAATAATTTATCACAAATGCATGTACAGGAAAGCCGTACCACAGGTGTATGTACAGGTCTCCCCACCCTACCCCACGCAGCCCCTTGCTCACGCACCCTGCTCTTGGAGCGGTCTGCGTTGTATCTGGAGCGACGAGAGCCCTTGAGATCGTAGAGCTTGGTGATCCGACGGCCGTAGAGCAGGTTCTCCATGACCATCACGTCCATAGTCACGCCCTTTGCTGTCACCTGCAGACAGGCACACGCATGGGACACACGGTGGAGAGAGAAAGGAGCAGAGAACGGAGAGCAGAGCCAAGACATTAATCGGCTAAGAAATCGTATCTCCATGACCATCACGTCCATAATCACACCCTTCGCTGTCACCTGCACCATTCACGTGCATGGGACGCGCAAGATGCAGAGAGAAGGGAGCAGAGAGCAAAGTATTTTTTTTAGTGGATTTAAAAGAGGGCGTCATTGCTTTTCATTGCCATGACGTCCCAAGTCACGCCCTTCTTAGCCTAACAGCATTACTTTGAATCAACCACACCCGTCACACACTATCCCCCCCACACACTATCCCCCACACACACTATCCCCCACACACACTATCCCCCACACACACTATCCCCCACACACACTATCCCCCACACACACTATCCCCCACACACACTATCCCTCACACACACTATTCCCCACACACACTATCCCCCACACACACTATCCCCCACACACACTATCCCCCACACACACTATCCCCCACACACACTATCCCCCACACACACCTCACTACCACACCTGGTAGAGGCCGAGGATCTTGGCAAGCTATTGACTTCACTCCAGAGTCACGTTTAGTTGACTTCAAACCCACCACACACAACCTCCCACCACACACAACCTCCCATCACACACAACCTTCCACCACACACAACCTTCCACCACACACAACCTTCCACCACACACAACCTTCCACCACACACAACCTTCCACCACACACAACCTTCCACCACACACAACCTCCCACCACACACAACCTTCCACCACACACAACCTTCCACCACACAACCTTCCACCACACACAACTTTCCACCACACACAACCTTCCACCACACACAACCTTCCACCACACACAACCTTCCACCACACAACCTTCCACCACACACAACCTTCCACCACACACAACCTTCCACCACACAACCTTCCACCACACACAACCTTCCACCACACACAACCTTCCACCACACACAACCTTCCACCACACACAACCTTCCACCACACACAACCTTCCACCACACACAACCTTCCCACCACACACAACCTTCCACCACACACAACCTTCCACCACACACAACCTCCCACCACACACAACCTTCCACCACACACAACCTTCCACCACACACAACCTTCCACCACACACAACCTTCCACCACACACAACCTTCCACCACACACAACCTTCCACCACACACAACCTTCCACCACACACAACCTTCCACCACACACAACCTTCCACCACACACAACCTTCCACCACACACAACCTTCCACCACACACAACCTTCCACCACACACAACCTTCCACCACACACAACCTTCCACCACACACAACCTTCCACCACACACAACCTTCCACCACACACAACCTTCCACCACACACAACCTTCCACCACACACAACCTTCCACCACACACAACCTTCCACCACACACAACCTTCCACCACACACAACCTTCCACCACACACAACCTTCCACCACACACAACCTTCCCACCACACACAACCTTCCACCACACACAACCTTCCACCACACACAACCTTCCACCACACACAACCTTCCACCACACACAACCTTCCCACCACACACAACCTTCCACCACACACAACCTTCCACCACACACAACCTTCCACCACACACAACCTTCCACCACACACAACCTTCCACCACACACAACCTTCCACCACACACAACCTTCCACCACACACAACCTTCCACCACACACAACCTTCCACCACACACAACCTTCCACCACACACAACCTTCCACCACACACAACCTTCCACCACACACAACCTTCCACCACACACAACCTTCCACCACACACAACCTTCCACCACACACAACCTCCCACCACAGACAACCTTCCACCACACACAACCTTCCACCACACACAACCTTCCACCACACACAACCTTCCACCACACACAACCTTCCACCACACACAACCTTCCACCACACACAACCTTCCACCACACACAACCTTCCACCACACACAACCTTCCACCACACACAACCTTCCACCACACACAACCTTCCACCACACACAACCTCCCACCACACACAACCTTCCACCACACACAACCTTCCACCACACACAACCTTCCACCACACACAACCTTCCACCACACACAACCTCCCACCACACACAACCTTCCACCACACACAACCTCCCACCACACACAACCTTCCACCCGCACAGACCCGTCACAAGCGTGCGCACCTGGTAGAGGCCGAGGATCTTGGCAAGGCAGGAGGGGTTGCCAGACTCGATGGCGTCAAAGAGGTGCTTGAAGTAGTCGTTGGCGAAGTCCAGAAATGCCAGTATCTCCTTGCGTTGCACCTTATAATGGGGATGAGGGAGATTGGAGGGGGAAAACACAAGGGCTTGGCTGTAAGTGGAAGAAAAATATGAGAGAGAGAGAGAGAAAAAAAAAATGAGGGGGGGTGGGGGGGGGAGAGGCGGGGGAGAGGAGAAGGGAGAGGAGAGGAGAGCGCAGAGGCGAGGAGAGGGCAGAGGGAGGGCAGAGGGAGGGCAGAGGCGAGGAGAGGGCAGAGGGAGGGCAGAGCCAGAGGATAGGAGAGGTCACCCCACCTGTTTGAGTCGACTCAAAAAGAGGGAGAGAAGAGGAAGGGCAGAGGGAGGGCAGAGCCAGAGGACAGGAGAGGTCGCCCCACCTGCTTGATGACAAAACCGTCGTCCGCAGTCTTGGCGAAATACACATGGCTCAGAAAACCAATTATACTTAGAGAAATAAAAAGCTTCGCCCCACCTGTTTGATGACAAAGCGGTCGTCCGCAGTCTTGGCAAAATACACGGAGCTCTTGCCACCCTCGGCACTCCAGCGCTTGCAGCGGCACAGCGAGCGCACAAACTCCACATCGCCACTCCCGTCCACCACCCCTTCCCCTGCCACCGCTGCGCCTGCCGCCCCTGCTGCTCCTGCTGTCCCCGCTGCTGTCCCTTCTCCTGTGTCAGCTCCAGCCTTGTGCTGACTGGATGAGGCAGCGGCCGGGGCGAGCGGGGGGAAGGGCGAGCAGCACTTGCGGCGGAGAGCGTCAAACTGCTTGGCGAAGTAAGCGGTCACCTGGAACGATGCTGCAGAGCCGCTCCCCCCACCAACCCCACCAGCAATCCCACGACGACGGCTACTGCTACCGGCACCCACCGGCGTCGACGCACCACTGCCTATACCGCCACTGTTCATGCCACTGCTGGTCATGCCGCCAATGCCGCTAATGCCGCTGCTGCCTACAGTGCCAGAGGTGCCAGCAGGGTTGGTGCTGGGGCCGGGGAGGAAGGGTAGTGCGGGAAAGGGCAGGGTATCGTCACCTCCCCCTACTGTGAATGCCACCTTCACGTGCCGCTTCTCCCGGGATAAAAGCGGGTCCTCCTGTGATGGCAATGGCGCTGCTGTTTCTTCCCGGGCTGGCACTGGCAGTGGCACTGTGTCACCCCCGGCACCCCCGGTTGGCTGCGCTTCTGGCTGTGCTTGCAACAGTCCCTGCTGTGATTGCAACGGTCCCTGCTGTGCTTGCAACGGTCCCTGCTGTGATTGCAACGCGTCTGGTTGTGCTTGTGAAGGCTCGTGTTGTGACTGCGATGGTTCCCATTCTGCTTGTGACGCTTCTTGTTGCACTTGTTGCGCTGTCTCCGGCTGTGCCTGTAACAGATCGTGCTGTATGGAGGATGGAGGGTGATGGTCTTGCTGCGACAGCTCAGGACCAGCGTATGCCGTGCAAACTCCCTCCTCCTCTCTGGAATCAACACATCTGCCTCCACCACTAGCGCCACTACCCTCAGCAGCAGCACCGTCACAAGCAACACCAACACCAGGACTAGCACCATCCCCCTCCACTCCTGCTGGCATTCTCAGCTCAGCCCTAGATCCTACCCCACCGCTCTCAACTCCCTCGCTATCTTCTCTACCTGGGCCCACACCTCTGCTCGCCAACCCAGCCCCACTACCAGCAACCCCATTCGGGTCATCCCCTTCCCCACCACCATCTCCGCTCTCTCCCCTACACGCTCCCATCCCCTCCGCAACATCAACACTTCCATCAAATGATGCACCCACTCTTGCAGCATTTTCCATTGAAGCAGAATTCAACTCATGGCTCTGCCCTTTGTTGTGCGTCGAACTGCCACTACCATACGTCGCTGATGCACCGCTAACTCCACTACACTCCTGATACTCGCTACCGCCTCCACTACCTCCACTGCCTCCCCCGCCAAGGCTTCTGGCCTCCGCAGAACCACACACTTCTCCTCCTCCTGCTGCTCCTGCTGCTGCTGCTGCTGCTGCTGCCGCTGCTCCTGCTCCTGCTGCTGCTGCTGCTGCTCCTGCTCCTGCTGCTGCTGCTGCTGTTCCTGCACCTGAGCTCGCCAACTCTGCTCCACTTCCCTCTCCCCTTCCTGTAGTCCGATCAACTCCTCTTCCCTCTCCTGCTGTTGACTGCTTCCCTGCTGCCTCTGCAGCTGTGGACTCTGTTCCCGCCTCTCTGCTGGCAGCTGCAGGTTCTGACGGCCTGGTAGCAGCACCAGGCGGAGAGGCATCGGTACGACAGGTGTTCTGCGGGAGTGAATCTGCTGGAGGGGCAGCACTGCTGCAAGTCGCCTCTTCTCTAGCTGCTCCTTCTGCGCCTGCTGAACCGGAAATGGCTCCTCCGGCTGCCACTGCTGCTACTGAATTTCCTTGTCCTGCTGCTGCTGCTGCTGCTGCTGCTGCTGCTGCTGCTGCTGCTGCAGCTGGCACTGCCGCGCCTGCTGCTCCTCCTCCTGCTGCAGCATCTACCTCAGCTGCTGCCACCGCCGCCGCCGCTGCTGCTGCAGCGGCAGCTGCTGAAGAGGCCTGCCTGACCAGCTCACCCACTGCCTTCGCCCCCACCACCTCCGATTCCACCACTCTCCCACTGCCCCCAACCCCCCTGGCCGATACTCCAGGCCCAAACACACTCCCTATTTGCCCCACATTCACACCCACACCCCCACCCACGCCCACACCCGCACCCGTACCAGCACCCACACTCCCACCTCCAGCGGCAGGCGTAGTGACAGCAGCAGTGGCATTCTGAGCAGTGGCAGTGTGAGCAGCAGTGGCACCGAGGACAGCAGCGGCACCATGCACGGCGCGGTAATACTCATTGGACGAGATGGCATACGCGATGAGCGACGTGGGCTCGTCCTCATACACCGCAATGATGCGGCCCCCAATGCCGGGCGGCAAGAGTACATGTGCTCTACCCAGCAAGGCCGGGGGGTACTGCATGGCTCAAGCGAAGGGAGGGATGGGAGAAAAGGAGGGTGGGAAGGGGGGGGGAGGAGAGGGATGAGCAACGTGGGCTCGTCCTTGTACACCGCTATGATGCGGCTGCCGATGCCAGGAGGGAGGAGCACGTGTGCCCGGCCTAGCAGGGCCGGGGGGTACTGCAGCGGGGGCGGGAAAGGAGAATGGGAGGATGGGTTTAAGGAGAGCAGGGAGGCAGGAGGACGCATCTGTGAGATGAAAGGAAACACCTACAAAAAGCCTAATCCAACGACAAGAAGTGATCGGAAGAGGATGGTGAAACCGCCCCCGTGGACTGATGGTGAAACCACCCCCGTGGACTGATGCAACAGAGTGCCGCACTCACCAGCTTGCCAATGGAAGCCCAGAGACGGCACACCACTGGAGGGGCCACTTTTGAGGCGCCTCAAAGGCAGCCAGTGCAGTGCTCACATGCATGAGCCATGCATGCCAATGCCTGTATCCATGCCTCATCCAGTCACACTCACCAGCTTGCCAATGGAAGCCAGAGACGGCACACCACTGGAGGGGCCAGCCAGGGAGAGGAAGGACGGCGAGCGGGAGAGGGGAGACGCAGTTGTGCCTGCTGCAGGATGGTTGATAGGGGTGCCTGCAAGCGACCTGCTGCTGCTGCTGCTCGCTGTGTTGCAGCTGAAGGAACGCACTGGCGCTGCTGCTGCCTCCTCTGACGCTGCTGCTGCTGCCTCTGCAGCTGCTGAGGCATCCGCATCAGCAGCGCCAGCACCAGCAGAAGCAGCGGCGGCAGCCGGCGGTGCTTCAATCCCAGATGTGGTTACAGCAGGGCCAGCAGCAGCAGCAGCAGCAGCAGCAGCGGGTGCGGTGGTGGGCGGAACAGGTGCTGCTTCTGCATCCTTGATCGACTCATGCACAGAAGCTTCAGAGACAGTTGCAGGGACGCAAGCAGCTGGAGCACCTGCTTCCACACCTCCTGCTGCTGCTGCCGCCGCTACTGTTGGCGTTGGTGGCTCGTCTGCAGCACCCTTGCTGCCACTTGCTGCTGCTGCCGGCATGTTTGCTGCTTCTGTCAGTGCGCTTGCTGCTGCAGCCAGAATGCATGTGGTTGGTGACGGTGCATCTGCTGTGCTCCCGGAAGCCACCGAGCAACCAGGTACCGGCGCACGGGGAGGGAGGCTGGAGCGACGAGAGAGCCGCGGAGTGCTACCAGCAGCAGCTGAGGGTGGCAGAGCGCCTAGAGCAGCCAGTGACAGTACCGGTGTTAGAGCTGGCACAGACACTGTTGGTGCTTCTGTTGCGAACACTGTTGCTGCTTCTGTTGCGACAGACACTGTTGGTGCTTCCGCTGAGACACACACTGCAGGTGCGTCTGCTGGAAAGGCAAGTGCTTCCTTCTGCTGCTCCTCTCCGCCTTCCTCTCCCTCACCCCTCTCCTCATCCCCATCGCCTCTCACTCCATCCGCCTTGTTCCTCTCCTCAGCCCCTTCCTCAGTACTCCGCCCCTCTTCCTCTCGCACCCCTCCCTCTCTTCTCCAATCTGAGAAGCTATAGCTGCCAGCGTCTCTCCCAATTTCCAAGGACAGAGCAGCGCCCTGTGCTGTCCCATCAGTCCCATCAGCCCCATCAACCCCATCAGCCCCATCAGTCTCATCAGTCTCATCAGTCCCATCAGTCTCAGTATCCTCCCTGCACCGTGCATCCTCACAGGGAGCACCCTCCTCGCGCTCTGCAGCATCACCACCCACCTCACTCACACACCCCCCCCCATCCATGCTGCCACCACCAGCCTGAGAAGCTAACTCCTCCTTACTCCCTTCCTCAAGCCTTTCTGCATGCACAGTCTTCTTCTCCATTTCAGCTGCAACCTCTGCCACATTCAACTCATCTATCCCCATCGTGCTTTCCTCCCCTGCCTCCCCTTCCCCTGCCTTCCCCTTCCCTGCCTTCCGTGCCCCTGCCTCTCCACTCATCTCCCCTACCTCCGCCTCCCCATCTCGTCCGCCATCCTTCTCTTCACCCGCCTCGCTCTGCCCCTCCACCAGAGATGCAGCGCTGTTGACGCTGGCAGGTCGGGAGAACGGGAGCAGGAACGACCCCCATGCGCCTGACAGAGCACTGCTTAGACCCGCTGCCATGCTCGGCCTCACTGCTTCTGTTGCTGCCACTGGTGCTGCTGCTGGTGCTGCTGCTGCCGCTGTAGCTGCTGCTGGCGCTGGTGCTGCTGCTGACTGTGTTGGCGCTGCTGCTGCTGCCGGTTGTGTTGGTGCTGCTGCCGCTGATGGTGGTGGCGGTGCTGCTGCTGTTTCTGCTTCTGTGGCTGTTTCTGGTGCAGGTGCTGGCGCTGCTGGTGCTGCCACGGCTGTTACCACTGGTCCTGCTGCTGCTTCTTCTTCAGCAACTGCAGCTGCTGCCGGCGCTGCTCCAGGTAACACAGCAACAACCGCTGCAGATGAAGCAGGTGTAGAAAATCCTGGTAACACTACTGGTAGAACCGATGGTAAGGCTGCTGCTGGTAGGACAGATGGTAAGGCTACTGGTAGGGCTGATGGTAAGGCTACTGGTAAGGCTGATGGCAAGGCCGCTGAAACGGCAGCAGGGAAGGAGGCCCACACAGGGAGATGTCCGACTGACAGCGCACGTGGCACCACTGCTGCTCCTGCCACTCCAACCGCCCAGTCAGCAACTGCTGCAGCATCCGCTGCTGACTCAGCGACCGCCACGTCAGCTGCCACGTCAGCACCAAGGAGAGCAGCAGGACCATTTGCCTGTGCGGCTGCTGGTGCAGTGGCGACGGGAGTGGCGGCCTCGGTGGCAGCTGCAGCTGCAGAAGCAGAAGAAACTGCAGGAGTGATAGCAGCAAAAGCAGCAACAGCAGCAGCTGCTGCTGTAGCAACTCCTCCTCCTGCCACAGGAGCAACAGCAAGAGCAGCGGCAGGACCAGCAGCACTACCAACAGCGGCCTCGGCGCCTTGTATTGCCAGCCCTGGACTGTCTTTGCCACCCCCCCCTGCTGATCCGTGGCTCGCAGTCACAGTAAGGGGCGCCATGCTCTCATCATTCGCCTCTGGCTTCTCCTCCTCAAATGCATCTATGATACCCACTCGCAGCATGCTGCTTGCCTCAGCCTCGCACTCACTCTCAGCGTCACCACCTTGTGCATGTAGGGCTACCGCCTCACCGCTTTCCCCCACTTCTCCCTTACTGCCACCCTCTACATTCCCATGCATATCACTTGCTTTAACACCCTCCTCTCCCTTCTCCTCCAACCCACTCCCCTTAACACCCTCCTCTCCTCCAACTCCCTCCACTCCATCCTCTCCCTTCCCCTCCACTCCACTCTCCTCCACTCCTCCTTTCCCACCATCAAGCAACACGCTCCCAGAACCACTCTCAACCTCCTGCTCTCCCTCGTATTTAACCTCCTTCCCCGAAGCTTCCAATACTGGCAAAAGGGACTCTTCTGTCCCTGCTTGTCGGGCCTCTGTTCCTGCTGCATCCGGTTCCCGGGCCTCTATTTCCCGAGCCTCCGTCTCCCAGGCCTTCTTTCGCCGAGCCTCAGCGGCCCGGGCGGCGAGGTCTAGAGTGGCACTGAACAGCCCCACGGAGTCATCCCTATCCCTGCCTTGCACCTCCAGAGACCCGCCTTCTACCTGCCGCTGCGGCTGTTTCGGGCTGGCTTTTGGTGGCGAATCATTGGATGACACCTGTCCCGTAGCTAGACCAGCGCCTTTCCTGCCGTCTGGTGGCCCTGCTTCTTCTCCACCTGTTTCTGACGCTGCTTCTGCCTCAAGTGCAGCTACTGGTGCTTCGGATTGCATTGGGGTTGCTGCCATGACTGCTGCTCGTTGCTGTGGTGGCTGTTGAATCTCCGCCGTTAATCTTTGCAGCCGCTCCGCCCACTCAGCCAATTGGCCGGTCAGATCTCGCCGCACCCGGTTCAGCTCCAGAATGTCCGTCACGGGCTGCCCAGCGGGCAGACTAAAATCCGGTGCTGCCTGCTGGAGTTTATTCTGTGGAGGGAACAGTGGAGACATGGAAGAGAAGCGCAGGAGGCAGGAAGAAAAGCAAGCAGCAGCTGAGAAGCCATAGTTGTGAGATATGTGCATGGCGAATTCTTGAGACATGAGACGAATGAGGCGCTTCAGGAAGCGAGAAACAACAAGACCAGGTCGGTCAGTGGGTCGGTCAGTCAATCGGTCGGTCGGGATGTCGGTATGCATTGGTCGGTCAGTCAGTCCCCTATCATTACACATGCTTTCCCATGCAGTGCCACCCATCTTATCACACACGAACATCAAATGCCCATCGACACAGCACAGCACAGCACAGCACACCACCACACTACACACACCACACCACCACACTACACACACCACACCACCACACTACACACACCACACCACCACACTACACACACCACACCACCACACTACACACACCACACCACCACACTACACACACCACACCACCACACTACACACACCACACCACCTTCCTTCCCACACTCTCGACCCGACCGACTCACATCAAACACGGCCTTATCGCGCTGCAGGGTAGCCTCCAGCAGCGCCAGGCTGGCCCGGGCCTCGGGGAAGCGGCTGGCAGACAGCGGGCCGCCCTGTGCCAGTCGCGCTGCAAGCGCATCGAGAGCGTTCATGATGTCCATGAACACGCGCTCCGCTGCCTCCGCCACCTGCAGGATGTGAGAGAAAGGGAGGAGAGAGACAGGGATGTGCGTTGAGGTGCCTTGTACTGCTACAACCTCCCAGTGCCAGATGGGCTGTCAGCGCATCAAGCGCGTTCATGATGTCCATGCACACGCGCTCCGCTGCCTCCGCTACCTGTAAGGGAGAAGGAGAGAGGGAGGGAGATAGGTGTGTTGAAACAGATAACGGGCTGACCCCCACCAGACGGGCTGCGAGGGCGCCAAGCGCGTTCATGATGTCCATGAGCACGCGCCACCTGTGGGGGGGAGAGAGGGAGTGGAAACAAGGTGATGAGATGCCTTGCACTGCTGCAACCTCTTGACAACAGGCGGGTTGTGAGGGCGCCAAGCGCGTTCATGATGTCCATGACGACTCGCTCCGCTGCCTCCGCCACCTGTGAGTGAAAGGGAGAGCGGGAGAGAAGAGGGACAAGAGGTGGTTTGGGGCACATTGCAAGCCACAATGCGCGCAGCGAGGGCGTCAAGCGCGTTCATGATGTTCATGACAACTCGCTCCGCTGCCTCCGCTACCTGTGGGGGCGTAGGGAGGCAAGCGGAAAGGTGGTGTGTTGGGGGACACAGAATCCTCTTAGCATCGGGCAGGCTGCAAGAGCGTCAAGGGCGTTCAAGATGTCATGGTGCTTGAAGCTCAGACACTGTAATACGAATATAATTTAACCAAGTCAACGCAGTCAACCGAGTCAACAGCAGCAGCACTCACATCGTTAAATTCGTCCACGAGCCATTGCTGCTGCTGGCGGTGGTTGAAGCTGAGGCGTAGAGGCGGCAGGCAGACGGAGTAGAGGTGCATGGGCGAGTAGGCCAGGCATGCTATCATCTCGCCACTCCTGCTCACAGGGACAAACATGCACGGTACGGGCAAAACGAATGGTACTTGTGGAGAGGGCGGGCGATTCTAATTGACTAGATGATCCACGTGAACAGGGCAGTAAGTGGCTGGCTGCAGGCTGCAGCAGCACAAGCACGGGGGGCTGAGGTAATGCCAGCAAGTAATCAGAATGCAAACCGCAATGCAATCTTCGTGGCACCCACCCACTAGTAGAAGCGCAGGCAGTCGCGGTGCAGCGAGTGGCCGCAGGCAAATCAGCACATGCAGAGCAGGACAGATGGACATAACGCCATTCCACCAACAAGCATTCCCCTACCTATGTAAAGAAGCGCCGTGCAATCACCATGGCATGGCACCCACCGGTAGAAGCGCAGGCAGTCGCGGTGCAGCGAGTGCCCACACGCCGCCAGCCGCCCCACCACCACATGATTCGTGAACGAAAGCTCCAGGAACTTTCCCAGCGACAGCTTGCACGCCGCCTCGGACATGAGCACGCGGCGCGTGGCCGGCGCCACTCCGTCCACCGGGCGGCACTGCCGGCAGCGGTGCCACATCCAGATGCACCGGGGGGCAGCGGGCGGCGGGCATGCACCGCCCACAGCAGCAGCACCAGAAGACCCAACAGACACACCACCAGACACACCAGCGTCCTGACCACACCCCATATCCCCCTCCCCTGCTGCTCCACTCGTCCCCCCTCCCCCGTACCCCCCTCCGCTGCCCCCATAGGTTCCTCTCCCCCCGCTTGCTCCCCCTCCCCCTGGCAGTTGCAGGGGGTGTGTGGGGGGGAGGATGTCGTCTGCCTTGCGCACGGAGATGGTGAGGGAGCCCTCCTTGTGTGAGTAGACTCGCACGTGGTCCTGTGATGGCATGCCGCACTTGCAGCGCTGACAGGGAGGAAGGGGCATAAGCGTGAGAGAAACGGAAACATGGAGAGGAGAAGGATGTCGTCTGCCTTGCGCACGGAGATTGTGAGGGAGCCTTCTTTGTGTGAATAGACTCGCACGTGGTCCTGTGATGGCATGCCGCACTTGCAGCGCTGACAGGAGCAAGGAGGGATGGAAGGGAAGAGGGATGGGGAAACAGGGGGGAAGGGGGGCATGGAGGGGTTCGGGAGGGAGCCTTCCTTGTGCAATTACATACGTTATCTCGTGATGGCATGGCGCACTTGCATTGCAGCACTGACGAGAGGAAGGATGAACACGGAGCGAAGGGGAAGACGGAGGAAGGGAGAATGTCACTGGCCTTGCATGGAGACTGGAAGTGAGGCCTTAAGTGGATTAACTCCTTATCGTGCCTTATTAACTCCTTATTGTGCCTTATTAACTCCTTATTGTGCCTTATTAACTCCTTATTGTGCCTTATTAACTCCTTATTGTGACTTATTAGCTCCTTATTGTGCCTTATTAACTCCTTCTTGTGCCTTATTAACTCCTTCTTGTGCCTTATTAACTCCTTATCGTGCCTTATTAACTCCTTATTGTGCCTTATTAACTCCTTATTGTGCCTTATTAACTCCTTATTGTGCCTTCTTAACTCCTTATTGTGCCTTATTAACTCCTTATTGTGCCTTATTAACTCCTTATTGTGCCTTATTAACTCCTTATTGTGCCTTGTTAACTCCTTCTTGTGCCTTATTAACTCCTTCTTGTGCCTTATTAACTCCTTATCGTGCCTTATTAACTCCTTATTGTGCCTTATTAACTCCTTATTGTGCCTTATTAACTCCTTATTGTGCCTTATTAACTCCTTATTGTGCCTTATTAACTCCTTCTTGTGCCTTATTAACTCCTTATCGTGCCTTATTAACTCCTTATTGTGCCTTATTAACTCCTTATTGTGCCTTATTAACTCCTTCTTGTGCCTTATTAACTCCTTCTTTTGCCTTATTAACTCCTTATCGTGCCTTATGAGTCCACTTAAACGTCTTCAAACATCAAGCCCAGTCACGCACAGCACTCACCCAGAGAGGATTAAGCACGAACTGGGTGAGAAAGTGCCCCAGCGGCATGTCCCTGTCCCCGTAGTACTTGATTCTCATCAGCTCCGGCGGCTCACACAGTAGCTTGCGCGACACACACCTCACACACACATCGCCCGCCCCCTCCCACCCACACCATCCCACGTACACATCACACCCACACCCCCCACACCCACACCTACACTCACCACACACAAAGCACTGAAAGCAACCACAATGAGGGGGGCAGCACTCACCCAGAGAGGATTAAGCACGAACTGGGTGAGAAAGTGCCCCAGAGGCATGTCCCTGTCCCCGTAGTACTTGATTCTCATCAGCTCCGGCGGCTCACACAGCAGCTTGCGCGACACACAGCGGCTGGACGCCCACACCAGGATCGACTGGTGCTCTGAGGGGGACACCGGCGCCAGTGGGTGGGCCAGGTGGGGCTGCGGGGTGAGTGGGGCGAGCTGGGACTGTGCTGCGAGAGAGGGGGGAATTGCGAGCGGCTGAGGAGAGGGGTCTTTCCTTTCTTCTGCTGCTGGTGCCACGGCTGCTGCTGGTGCTGTGGCTGCTGTTGGTAGTGGGAGTGGTGGTGCGTCAGGCGCTGCTTCTGGGGTGGTGGATGGGGATGCGTCCGTCATAAGAACCCCCCCGCTTTGTACAGTTGCAGTGGGAAATGCATCACCAGCAGCAGCAGCAGCAGCAGCAGCAGAAGCATCGGAATCTGTTCCTTCCAGCAAAATCGCAATGCCAACCCCCCCCTGCTGCTGCTGCTGCTGCGGCTGCTGTGGAGGAGGAGGAGAAAGCACCCCTGCAGGCTGCTGTGATTGATTCAAGGGCAGCTCCTCACCCACCAGTGGCTGCTGCCCCTGTGCTGATGCATGCGCCATCATCCCCTCACCACCTGCTACCTCTGCTGGTGCTGGTGCTGCAGCTGCTGCTACAGCAGGCAATTCACTCTCCAACGCCCCTCCTTGTGTTGCCGCATTCACTTCACTCTTCTTTCCTTCACCAGCAGCAGCACCAGCAGCAGCACCAGCAGCAGCACCAGCAGCAGCACCAGCAGCAGCAGCAGCAGCAACCTTCTTCGCCTCACACGCTGTTGATCCCCCTGCCGCCTCGCCTGCTGCCTCCCCTGCCCCTCTACCTGAGTTTCCTTCTCCTCCTGGTTCCCCAGTGCCCGCCTCCTCTTTGTTTCGACCTTCACTGTCTTCTGGAGCCTCCCTCACATGCTCCTCAATCTTTCTCACACCCTCCCCACTCTCCCTCACACACTCTCTCACAGAAGACACCCCACTAGCCCATAGAGATGCTGATAGCTGTGCGATTCGGCGAGGCGACGGCCTGTTGCTGCCAGTGCTGCTGCTACTAGCGGGTACAGATGTGACTATAGCAGGAGGCGGGGTGATAATACTACCAGCACTGATTCCGGCTGAACGATTGACAGCAGCAGGTTCATCTGTGGAAGCCACGTCAGCAGCCATGACGTCAGCAAGCAGATGAGGCTGCGCTGCCGGAGCATCACTGGCCAATGGCGGCACGCCAGCTGGCAGATGAGAGCCAACGAGAGCACCAGAGACCTGTGCCTGTGCTAGTCTATCTTGCTCCCCACAATCACCCTCCCCAATCCCACCATCTCTAGGCCGTGCTGGAGCATCAACAGCAGCAGATTCACCTGAGAAAGCCGCCTCAGCAGCAGCAGCACCCGCACCAGCAGCAGGAGGAGGAGGATCAACAGCAACCGCGGGAAACGGGGCAGCAGCAGCAGCAGCAGCAGCAGGAGCGGAAATGAGAGGAGCAGCAGGAGCAGGAGGAGGTAACGCGGCACAGAGAGGAGGGCAGGGAGCGATGCCGGGGGGGAGGGCGCCTTCGTCTGCAAGGAAGGAGGTCTCGAGGGCGAGGTGGTAGGAGGCGAACACTGCAAAGTGCATCACCCTCTTCACCCTCTTCAGCTCCGCTGTAGGCGCCCCCATCAGTAGCACCTGCTTGGGCAGTGGAGCAGGGGGGTAGCAGGATGGGCAGGGGGAGAAGGGGAAGGGAGGGGAGAAGCAGTGAGAATGGAACTCCAGGAGGGAGGCAGGGAGGAGGGGGGCAGGGAGCGATGCCGGGGGGGAGGGCGCCTTCGTCTGCAAGGAAGGAGGTCTCGAGGGCGAGGTGGTAGGCGGCGAACACTGCAAAGTGCATCACCCTCTTCACCCTCTTCAGCTCCGCTGTAGGCGCCCCCATCAGTAGCACCTGCTTGGGCAGTGGAGCAGGGGGGTAGCAGGATGGGCAGGGGGAGAAGGGGAAGGGAGGGGAGAAGCAGTGAGAATGGAACTCCAGGAGGGAGGCAGGGAGGAGGGGGGCAGGGAGTGATGCCGGGGGGGAGGGCGCCTTCGTCTGCAAGGAAGGAGGTCTCGAGGGCGAGGTGGTAGGAGGCGAACACTGCAAAGTGCATCACCCTCTTCACCCTCTTCAGCTCCGCTGTAGGCGCCCCCATCAGTAGCACCTGCTTGGGCAGTGGAGCAGGGGGGTAGCAGGATGGGCAGGGGGAGAAGGGGAAGGGAGGGGAGAAGCAGTGAGAATGGAACTCCAGGAGGGAGGCAGGGAGGAGGGGGGCAGGGAGTGATGCCGGGGGGGAGGGCGCCTTCGTCTGCAAGGAAGGAGGTCTCGAGGGCGAGGTGGTAGGAGGCGAACACTGCAAAGTGCATCACCCTCTTCACCCTCTTCAGCTCTGCTGTAGCCGCCCCCATTAGTAGCACCTGCTTGGGCAGGAAGGGGGGGAAGGGCAGTGGTGGGGCTGTGAGTCCGAGAACTGAAGTCCAGGCATGGCAAGTGCATCACCCTCTTCACCCTCTTCACCTGCTTCACCTGCTTCAGCTCCGATGTAGGCATCCCCATCAGCAGCACCTGCTTGAGGTTAAGAAAAACCGAGGGTAGCGGACCGGGAGAGGGGGAAGTGAGGATGGGTGAGGAGAGGATAGAATCCCAGGCATGTGAAGCGCATCACCGATAATGCTTCGCTTCGCTCACTTGAGCAGACACATTGGATGGAAGCACGACATTAGAGAAACGGCACATGCATCCCTGAACCGCGTTGCAAACAATACGACTCTCGTGGCTTGAGAGAACGAGGGTGAGGCTGAAATCCAGCCAAGAGAGATTATTTCTCAGAAAGTATTCTCTTCTTTGAGTGAAACCAAGGGTGTAAAAGAAAGGTCACGGAGTGAAGAAGCACATACAGTGCAGCCGAGAGGGATCGGGCAGCCCTCAAGAAACAACAGCGTCTTCACGTTCTTGCGACCACCCCCAGCAGCACCAGCAGCAGCCGCACTGCTGCCACCACCGCCACCACCACCCGTCGCAGCCCCCCTCCCCCTGCCTCCCCCCACACCAGCCTCTGGCCCCACCCCACCGCCACCGCTCCCCACCGCATCCCACTCCTCCACAAACTTCCTCGTCCAGAACCGCTGGCACTGCCCCAGCCTGTCAAGGGTCTCAGCGGACTGGGCCACTTTAGCTCCCGTGCAGCGCGCCACTCTCTCCAGCAGCGAGCGCTTGACATTGAAGACGAGAGACATGCGGTGCTCCACCATCCACTGCTGCGCGAACCCTGACACTGTTCCCTCCACTAACAACACACTGCCGCCCACCTGCCCGCCCAGCTGCCCGCCCGCTTGCCCGCCCATCTGCCCGCCCGTGTTAGCTGGCGGCATGGAGGCTGCTGAGGCGGTTGGGGGGGTTGAGAAAGGGCCATTGCTGCCTGTGGTGTTGCTGGTGGCGGTGGCGGGGGTGGAGGGGTAGCTAGAGAGGCTGTGAGTGCTCCCCATGCTGCTGTAGCGAGATAATCCGCCTGGAGCCGGGGCCGCCGGAGCTTGGTTGTATGTGCTGTTGCTGGTGTTATAGGTGTTGCTGTTGCTGTTGCTGTATGTACTGTTGCTGTTGTAGGTGCTGCTGCTGCCAGTGCTGATGATGCTTCCCGTGGTGCTGCTGGCATTGCTGCCCGTCCTCCTATGCCCACCCCCACCACCACCCCCAGCAGCAGCACCATACCCACCCCCAAACCCCCCAACAGCAGCCCCCCCACCGCTATTAACACCACCAAAAGCACCACTCCCAAGCACCCCAGTCTGCCTCGTGAGCCCTGAACCCAACTCCCCTTCACCCCGGAAACCCCGGCCCCTTGCCCCCACTGCTGCTCCCGTGGGTGTGGTTGGAACAGACAGTGCGCCATGGCTGCTGGGCGGCCCCTGTGGGTAGCCTTGTGGGTAGCCTTGTTGGTAGCCTTGTTGGTAGCCTTGCAAGTGGCCTTGCAAGGGGGCTTGCGAGTAGGCTTGTACAGGGGCTTGTGGGGGGGGAGGTCGGGGGAACTTGCGCTCGATCTTCTGCAGCATGTGGCGCAGATGGGTCTCTTGCTGCACGATAGAGGAGGGAGGGGAAGCAAGAGAAGAAAACGGAGAGAGAGGAATGGCGGGCTGACTTTTGAGTCGACTCAAAAGTCAGCTCATTACAATGTCACACGAAAACGGAGAGAGTGACGAGAACAAAGAAGAATGGCAGGTCAGCCAGCCAGCCAGACCATGACGACTTTTGAGACGTCTCAAAAGCCAGCCAGACCATGACTGAACCATGTCCTTGGAAGCTAAGTCCAGAGTAAGTACGAATAAGATCCATCAGCCTAATCCAGCCTTAGTCAGCCGCAGTCAACCGCAATGAACCTGTGCCCACCTGGGCGAGCAGCGTGTCGATGGAGGAGAGGCGGTTGGGGCAGCGCTGGTACTCGAGAGTGGAGGCGAGCAGAGCGATGTGCGGCCACCGGATGTCTGATGCCATTCTCTTGTTGGCCACGTTCTTGCGACACACCACTCCGTCCACCACACAGCTGCGAGGGGTTGAAAGGGAAAGGGCACAGCATGGTTGAAATGTTAAGGCCCGAATCTCAGCCTCTCTCCGTGAACGTGGTCCGGCATTCCTTCCTTGTTGGCCACGTTCTTGTGACACACCACGCCATTCACCACACAGCTGTGAGGGATGGGGAGAGGAGAGAAAGAAAGGGAAGGGTCGAAATGCCACATGTCAGATGAGAGGGATTGAGAGGGGGGATTGGAAAAACAGCACATGGGGCGAAGAGTGTAGTACCTTCCTGGAGTGCTTCCTCTCCCAGGCCCCCCCCTGGCACGTACCTCTCACTGCGCTTCCCCCCCGCGATGCACTTCACTTTGATGTATCCCCCAGGATCCATATACCCCCCCATCGAACTCGAGTCCGGCCGAACCAGCGACGCAGCTTCGGAGGCCAGGCGCCGAACCACCTCAAGCCACCCCTCAGGGTCTCCCTCGGCCCCTGCCTGCAGCCCCTCTGCTTTCAGCATCTGCTCTACCAGCGCGCTGAAATGCCCCTCCACCACCTCCCTTAGCCTCTCCCGTGCGTCCACACTGCCTGGTAGCACTGTTCCCGCCCCTGCCGGTGCTGCAGCAGCAGCTGCAGCGCCTCCTCCTCCCTCTTTCCCCGCTGTTCGTGTTGCCCCGCCTCCTCCTCCTGCTCCTCCGCTGTATGTCCCCATCTGTCCATCCCCCTGCCACCCCTCCCCACCCCCATAAACCGAGGATGAGCTATCACCATACTGACCAGTGCTGCTGCCTGCATCCCACCCATCTCCTTCCCCTTCTCCTTCTCCTTCCCCTCCTCTCTCGTTCCACCAGCTACCCTCCTCATCCTCCTCATCCACATATGCAACCGCCCTGCCCCTGCCCTGGATCCCACCTCCCCCAAGTGCAGACGAATCCGGAGGCGGCGTCTCCCAGAGCTTGCTATTCGACTCCAAGTTCACCGCATCTGGACACTCGGAGGACGACGAGCCGTACGACGACTGCAGGTACGGAGATACGCCGAATCCGGACGCCACTCCTTCCGCCGTCTCCTCCCCTGCATCTGCATCTTCCTGTATAGACCGAGGTCTGGGAGTGGCAGAGCCAGAGGCAGTAGGAGTAGCAACTATCATTGCTCCGATTCGATCATCCACACCGGACCCCACCACACCGGACCCAACCACACCAAACGACCCAGAACGTAGAAGCCCACTGCTTCCCCCTCCTGCTCCTCCCCCTGTTCCTCCCACCCCTCCTCCAACGTCCCCTCCCCTCCCCCCACCACCACCCACAGCACCACCGGCAGCACTAGCAGCAGCAGCAGCAGCAGCAGCAGCAGCAGCAGCAGCAGCAGCAGCAGCAGCAGCAGCAGCAGCAGCAGCAGCAGCAGCAGCAGCAGCAGCAGCAGCAGCAGCAGCAGCAGCAGCAGCAGCAGCAGCAGCAGCAGCAGCAGCAGCGGTAGCATCAGCAGCAGTAACAGCAGCAGCAGCGGAAGCAGAGGGAGTGGCAGAAGCAGGGGCAGCAGGGGGGCCATGGGGATCATCCCCAGGGCGCCAGAGGTCCTGGCTGCCTGTGCGTATGTGCAGTGCCGGTCCCTTCACCACATCATACTGTGCCCCCTGTGCTCCTCTCCCCACAGACTGCTGTGAGGCGGTTGCTGCAGTTGCTCCTGCCGTCACGGGCATTGCTGCTACACTACCTGCTGGTGCTTCAGCTGGCAGTTCTGCTGGTACTGCGTTCGCTGATGCTTCTGGTCCTGCTGCTATTGCTCCTGATCCAGCAGAAGCTGCCAAGGAAGCAGCACCAGGGGCAGCAGCATGAGTTAACCCTGCCCTCTCAGTGCCACCTTTCATCTCAAATGCGCTGTGAACGCCACCCTTATCTTGGGATATCTCACCCTCTCCCTCTGCTCCTGCCTCCCTCACACCTACTGCTGCTCCCTCACCCATCTCCCCTCGCTGCCACTGCTCACCCCCCCTTACTCCCACTCCCTGCCTAGCAGCAGCATCAAGCGTGCTCAAACCAGCAGCAGCATCAAGCATGCTCAAACCAGCAGCGGCACCACCACCACCCCTGCCCGCTTTCCTTCCCAGCGTCCACCTGTCCCGGCACCACCAATCGCTGTCCTCCACATAATCCCCCTCTTCCAACCCAAACCCACTCCTCGTCCTCCCTGCCCCTCCCAAGCCCCCACCCATGCCGTCCCCTCCCTCCAACCGACCACCAAACCCCTCTCTGCCAGACAGGCCAGTGGCAGTCGTGGCAGTGGATTTGTGGCCAGTGGCATTAGAGGCGTTTCGGGCAGTAGGGGCATAAGGGGCATTAGGGGCAGTAGGGGCATAAGGGGCATTAGGGGCAGTAGGGGCATAAGGGGCATTAGGTGCAGTAGGGGCAGTGCTTGAGGCAGAACCAGGGACAATCCCATTCCTGCTGGGGTGGGGAGGTGTGTTGGGACGTGAGAGGGACGGCCTACCATGCTCGGCAGCTGCTGTTACTGCTGCTGGTAACCCAGCAGCTGGATTGTTACTGCCAGCCGAAGCAGGAGCAGCAGGAGCAGCAGCAGGTGCAGCAGAATCCGCAGGCAACACAGCCGCAGCAGGCAAGGCAGCAGCAGGCTTGGACCCTCGAGGGGAAATGAGTGAGAATGGAAACGAGTCGAGCGCATTAGCCGACGACAATTTACCCACACCACCATCACCACCACCACTCCCTCCCCCGCCACCGCCCATCCTGCTCCCCGTTGCCTTCCCCCCGCCTAGACCAAGCCCAAACGTCCTGGTGAACCCGAGAGGGAAGTAAGCGAGGTCCCACATGGAAGGGCTCTCTCTGTCGCTCTCCTCCTCTGTCACTGCTGCGCCTAGATGCTCCCAGCCTCCCCACCCCTTGATGGAACCTAATCGCTCGTACGGCTCCTTGGGCTTTGCTGGCGCGTTGCTGATGGGAATGCCTCTTCTGGCGTCGTTATCACCGGCCATCTCCGTTCCGCTGCTCTCTCTTTCATGCGACTTATGCGGCTCGCTTGGGGGGAGTGTGCTCCCATCGCGTGTGGCCGTTGCGGCTGCTGTGGCGCGTGACAGTGGGAGGGCCGTTGGCAGGGCTTGTACCGGAAGAGGGTTGCTGCTGCTGCTGCTATGATCAGTGCAACCGCTGCGGACAGTGCTGCTGCTGTTGCTCTCTATGGCATTACCGCTGCTCGTGCCGTTGCTGTTCATACTTTTCTGTTCTGCGCTGCTGCTGCTGCTGCTGCTGCTGCTATTGCTGCTAGCTGGACCACGCTCCACAATGCCCTGGCTGTTGCTACCACCAGTGGTGCTGTCACCACCGGCACTGGCGTTTCCTTTCACTGGCCCTGTGAGAAGTTCAGCATCAGTGTTCAAAGCACGATTCAAGTCACACTGCTCCACATGCCTCTGCTGGGGCCCATGCTGCTGCTGCTGCTGCAGCAGGTGCTGCTGCTGGTAATGGTGCCGCGGGTCATAATAATGAATGTGACTATGTCGAGCATGGGGTCCTCTCCTCGCCCCCACCTCCCCATCCTCGCCTTCCTCCCCTTCCACTACCGCCTCCCCACCACCCCTCCACCTGGAATCCGAGCCACTCCTCTCGCTTCGTCCGTCCAACCCATTCCTCTCACTTCTCCCCCCATCCTGCGCCCCACTGAGTCCCAGCAGACTGTCATGGGAGAGAGTCCGCGACTGGAACCCCACACCAAACCCACTCAGGCCCCCAACACCAAAACCAGTCAGTCCCAACAGCCCTTTCCGTGTTGCTTCCGCTTTACCTCCACCCACACCTCCTCCTCCTCTTCCTCCTCCTCCTGCTACTACCACTGCTGCTCCTGCTCCCTCTCCTGCTCCTCCTGCTCCTGTTCCGCCTCTTGCTTCTCCTGCTCCTGCTCCCCTTCCATATCTCCCTTTCATCCTTTCCTCGTTTATCCTTCCTCCATTACCAGCTGCTGTTGTTGCTGCTTCCTCCTGTGCTCCAATCCCGACTCTTCTGTCCCCTCTGCCTCCTGATTGCAAATTCTCTCCCTCACTTTCTCCTTTGAACCTTTCCCCTGGCCCGTCTCCCCTAGAGTCGGTACTGCCCCTTACCCTGCCTCTTCGCCTCGCCCTTCCCTGAGACAGTATATACCCCATCTCCTCCTCCTCCTCCTCTTCCTCGTCCTCCTCCTCGTCATCATCGTCTTCCTCGCATTCATCCTCATCCTCATCATCATCCTCCTCCTCCTCCTCCTCCTCTTCATCTTCCTCCTCCTCTGCGTCCTCCTCCTCTTCCTCCCCATAGTATTCGTCATCAATCCTGCAATGTTGTCGTGTTTCATAAAAGAAGTTAACAAACACACACACACACACACACACACACACACACACACACACACACACACACACACACACACACAAACAAACAAACAAAAAACGAAACAAAACAAAACAAAAAAATGGGGGCGCCTCAATAATAGCCACCGATGTTGGAAAAATACCAGGGAAAAAAAAAACAAAAAAAACAATATGCAAATTGCATGGGTGTGATGCCTAAAAAAAAAGAAAACACAAAAAAGGCAATGCCAAGTTGCCAACCAAAACCGACCTGTATTTCGGGTGCCTGAACTCATACTGCGTCCCAACTCCACCACCTTCTCCCACGCCCTCCGCCAATCCACTGCTCTGCTGCCGTCTGAAACCCAACAACGCCCCTCCTTCTCCCCTATACCCGCCCCTGCTGTCCCGTCCCCACCCCTCGCCCACTGAAACGCTCTTCAGCGCTCCCATCCCCATGACAGGCCCATACATTCTGCCCATTTCTCCCCCTATTCCTCCACTCCGACCCCTTCCCCGTCCCACTCCCCGCCTCATCTTCCCTCCCTCCTCCCACTCCCACAGATCCCCTTCTCCTCCCCTCCCCTCCCCCCTCCCTCCCCTCCCCTGCCCCCCTCCACCTCTTCCCTCTCCCACCTCGACCGCTTCCCGAAACGCCGAACCTGCACCTCTAGCCTGGGGGTCCCTCCGAGGCAAGCTGAGAGCCTCGGCATAGCACTGGTCGCACACCCGAACCTTCTCAGTAGCAACATCCTGAACCCCACCAACACCACCACCAACACCACCACCACCACCACCACCACCACCACCACCACCACCACCACCAGCAGCAGCAGCACCACCAGCAGAGTTAACCCCAGCAGTAGTACCACCAGCACCAGCACCCCCACCACCACTACCACCAGCAGCAGGAGCAGCAGAGGCTGGCAGGAGTGGCCGTGGCTGGTCGCGGCGGAGGAAGGGCATGGGGATGGAGCGCTGGGTGCATCGACCGCAGAAGACGCGGCCGCAGCGCCGGCAGTGGTGGCGGCGGTTTAGAATGGTGAACTGCGCGTCACACGCGTAGCAGTGCAGCGCGTGGCTGTCCTTCATCCATAAGTCCCGCGACAGCAAATCCGACTTGCTGCTCCCTGTCACTCCCCCTCTGCTGCTGCTGCTGCTGCTGCCACTGTTGGTGATGCTGCTGCCAGTGCTGGTGCTGGTGGCAGCACCAGGAGCGGCAGGAGCGACAGGAGGAACAGCAGCGCCAGTAGAGGCGCGAATAGGGTTGACACGAGAGGTACCAGTAGGGCCGGCGGAGAAGGTACCAACAGTACTAGCTCTTTCTGCCTTAAGTGCTCCTATTTTGCCGTCTGCAACCCCTGCTTCTCGACGCGCTCCTATTGCTCCTCTTGCTCCTCCTTCTAAGTATCCCATGCCCCCCACGCCTCCTAAACCCGCAGCTGCAGTTTTCGTTGTCCTGACACCACTGAACCTGTCCGCACCACTAACAATACCGCTTTCACCATCAAAACCACTTGTAACATGGTTACCACCGCCACCCACAGCAGTCCTCATCGCTCCTCTCCCACCCATCCCCTCACCACTTGCTCCAGCATAAGCTGAACCTCCCCCGGTTCCTCCTCCCCCATAACCACCGCCCCCACATCCACCTCCTCCTGAATCTCTACCCCCGGCAGGAAAACCAGCGCGAGTTGCGCCGGAAGTCCCGCCGCGTTTCGCGGTGGCGCTGGCCTGACCGCTTGAAGAGGAGGAGGTGGAGGAAGTGGACCCAGCGGGAATCTCGGCGCCTGACGCGCTCAAAGACTTGCTGCTAGCGGTGTCGCTGGCGGTTGCTAGAGGGAGGTACGGACCGAAGGAGAGGAGAGAAGAGGAGGAGGAATCCGAGCCTGAGGCATGGAATGCGCGGGGGCTTGTCGCCGATGCGCCTGATGCGCCTGATGAGGATTTTGGCGGTTCCGGACTTTGCCGTTTGGGTAAGAATAGGCCAAAACCAAAATCCATGATTTCCGGGATCTAAAATTGCCGTAAGCTCAAGACAGTGGCGTTAAAACGGATGTGATCATACAAGAGGTGGCTGAAACGGACGTCGTTGATCACGGGTTGCTAAACGCGAATCCCAACCGTTCGAAGCATCTCATGCCTGAATCCTAAAAGAACGCATCCTCGCCGTATCCTGAAAAGGTTCATATAGAACAAGCCGAACAGATGAAGGTAAGAACTACAATACTTTCAACACTCAATACGTCAGTATTCGTATTGTCAGAATTCGTCGGATACGAAGACCGTAACTCCTTACTTATTCGTCAATGTATCTGATGACACGCGAACGGCCTTAGAGAGTGAGGAAAGGGAAACAATAGATTCGCGAAGGCTTGTCGCGGTCGAGCGATACTAAAAGAGTAGTGCGTGCATGATTCGAGACGACGCGGACGGAGGGCATAATAAGCGCGAGGCGTGGTAACACAAAACGCGCCGTTGGAAATCATCCACAAAACGCTCTTGTCGCCGCAACCCACGGCGGGCCTGAATACGGAGCGTCCGGATAACAGGATGTACAGTATGTGGTTGGGTCAATTCATTCCACGTCATCTGCTTTCAGCCAGAGGAATCGTCCCCTCCCCAGCCTCCGTCAACTCATTCTCAACTACGGTTCCGTAATTTTCAAAAGGGTAAACAGCGGTTGGTGCAGATTACCTTTCTGGACCGAAACACACCGATGATGAAGGCGATATGATGTGGAAGTAGGATGCCATGAATGGAGAATCTAGGCGAGCCGACAGCATTTTGGGTGGGAAGGAAGGAACACCACAGATAGCCAGGAGAAGCGTTACAATACGGTGCTTTATGCTTTCAAAGTGGTACAGAGCAGAGGAAAAAAGCTCAGCTGGTTCACCATCAGAAGCTGAGGTGGGCAGCGTGGAAGGCAGCCAATGGTAATCAGTATTGGCGCGCAGGAGGGCTGCCGGGCGATGAGTGGCCGGTTAATTGGGAGTGGTTGCCTTGGGATTGGTTAGATGTGGACACAGTCATTTGAAGACAGAAGACAAGCAGTTGCTGTTCGGGTGTCACTTTGAGGTGGCTTTCGTTATTTACCGAACAGGCTTCGGGTCGAATCATTGAGATCCCCAACTCTACTTGTAAAACAGAGTAGCTCTGATGACTGGAAGGCTGGAAACTTGGCTGGAAGAGCTCAACAAAGCTGCTGGACTTGGCTTGATGAGAGAAAACTTACACTATGCTCAAGATTGTACAAGCCCACTAAGGCACAACTTCTTAAGCATTACAATCATGCAGATTGATAGCTCAAACTAGGCTGCTAGACAAGGCAACTTCCTGGAGAACTTAGGCACAATTCAGATTCCATGAACCTTGAGTGACTTGAGAGCCACATGAGGTGCATGAATAAGAAAGCTCTGGAATTCTCTGTCATAGCTGATTTTGTTTGGTAGAAACCTGTAGAAACTGTTGACACTTCTTCTTGAAAACAATTCCGAACTGTATCGAGAATTCGGCTCCAATTTGATTGGTTGAGAAACTTTCTGATTTGTTTGCGAAGCCTTCAATCCGTCGCCGACATTCCCCCCTTGCTGCTCCTTTTGTGCAAAGGGCTGGGGCGGCAGAAACTTGATTCTCCAACACTCCCCCTCGCACCAGACCCGAAGCACACATACGCCCATTCTTATTCTCCTCTTACATCTCCTTGGCATACACTCCATGCTGCTGCCCATATTGCTTCTCCTCATACCCCTCATTCTCCTCAAACTGCTGCACTGCTTCATGAAGTGTCATGAGACCTGCTCTTGCCTTGCACATGTTGAATGCATCATGTGGAAGAACCTTAGTCATGAAATCTGCTGCTTGGTCGAATGAACGGCAAAAGTTGACGGCGAGAACTCCCTTCTCTAGTTGCTCACGGATGAAATGGTACTGCACCTCGATGTGTTTTGTACGCCCATGATGAACCGGGTTCTTGGAAAGAGCGATGGCTGAAGTGTTGTCCACGTAGAGCGGAGTCGGTTGAGTTTGCGGCTGCCTCAAGTCCTCCAAGAGTCCACGTAACCAGATTGCCTCCCTTGCTCCTTCGGTCATTGCCATGTACTCGGCTTCGGTTGTAGAAAGCGCCACACAACTTTGCTTGCGTGATTGCCAAGAAACAGCGGCACCGCACATGAGGAAGATGTAGCCGCCGGTGGACTTTCGTGTGCTCAATTCTCCCGCCCAATCTGCATCGGTGAAGCCTTGGAGGGAGCTTGCATGTGGGCTGGCTTGGAAGAGAAGACCAAGATTAGAAGTACCTTTGAGATACCGAAGAGCTCGCTTGGCTGCATGCATATGGGTAGGTGATGGGGCACTCATGTGTTGAGCTAGCTTGGATACCGTGAATGCTAGGTCGGGCCTTGTGCATAGGGCTGCATACATGAGACACCCAACCTGACTTTGGTAGAGAGCTAGGTCTTGTGGGGATACCTTGGGTGAATTTTCACCATGATGCTCACTCTCCTCAAGACACAACTCCTCAATACCCGTGATGTCAAGGCTTGACTCCCTCTCTTCATAGGGCTGATGTGATGACAGAGGGACAAAGTTGGAAGGAAGCGGGGTAGGTGATGGCTTGCTATCATCAAGACCAAACCTCTCAAGGACCTTTTGGATGTACCTTTGCTGGAATAGGAAGATGGACCGTGACTTATGATCTCTCACAATGTTCATACCAAGATAATGACTCGGCTCACCAAGATCGGTCATCGTGAATGCACTCATGAGAATACCTTTCACCTTGTTGAGGAGATCAAGAGAACCTGAGACTAGGAGGAGGTCATCAACATATACCAACAGCCAAATGTACTCCCCCTTACTCGTGTGCATGAAGTACAACGCGTTGTCTCTCATGGACCTTGTGAAACCGTGCTTGAAGAGTACCGTCTCAAGAGCATGATACCATACCCGTGGGGACTGTTTGAGACCATAAAGTGACTTTACCAAGCGACAAACTCGACCCGTACCATCATCATAACCTTCGGGTTGTGCCATGTATACCTCTTCGTCCAAGACACCGTAGAGAAATGCGTTCTTGACATCCATTTGATGGATATGGAGACCAAGATATGCGGCTATGGCGAGGAGGACTCGTACCGTGGTCTACTTCGCTACCGCGGCAAAGGTTTTGGTGAAGTCAAGACCTGGAATTTGGGAATAACCTTTTGCCACTAACCTTGCCTTGTACCTAACAAGTGTACCATCATCTTTTACCTTAATCTTGTACACCCATTTGACACCAATTACCTTCTTCTCTGGAGGTGGCTCAACAAGACGCCATGTACCTCTCTTCATGAGACTCTCAATCTCTTCTTCCTCGGCCTTCAACCAATGCTCTCTCTCGGGACTTGCCACTGCCTCACGACGACTCAATGGCTCTCGTGGAAGGTGTGACGCTGCCATGCATATTGCCTGTACCTTCTTGTGAATGCAATTCTCACTCTCCTCACACGTGCACCTTGATGACATGTCAACCATGAACGTGAAGGGCTTTTTCATCTTGCGGACTCGTTTACCTTTACCCAACTCCTCACTTGACTGAGACACATCAGTAGTAGGGTTCGGTCTCACAGTGCTTGGATGCGTTGACACTGTCATTTGCGGCTGAGACAACGGCTGCGACAGCGGCACGGCTGCATGATCTTCTCCTGGCGTGGAACTCTCTCGATTATCGGTGTTGACTTGAGGAATAGGAGTGATGGCTCGTGGCGGTGAAGCTGAAACGTTCGTCGGCATAGTTGGTTGTGAAGGTGCTCTTGGTGGGGATCTTGAGACTAAAAGCTTGGGGATTGATGATGACGCTGCGTTGTCAAGAGGTGATGATGAATGGGGCTGATTGGTGTTGTTTCTCGGTGTTGAAGATGACGGTAATTGATGACGGCCAATTCCGGGACGTGGGGGTGAAGTTGAGAAAGGTCTTGGGTGAAGAAGTGGGCTGTTGGAGCTGGTGTTGGTGGTGACTCGCTGAAGTGATCCTCGTGCTATGAGCTGGCTTGACGTTGGAACCTGAAGTGATGAACGTGTGTGAGAACGAGATGTTGCGGTGATGGTTGTCTTGTTGGTAGGAAGAATTGTAGATGGTGTGGATGTAGGTACTTGGGGTGTTGTGGCTGTTGATTGCTGCTGCATTGGATGATGATGAGTGTCGGTAGTTGCCTCTGGAGTGGCGGCTGATGATGGGTTTGGTGGCGTAGTGGTGGGCTGATCCAATGGACGTTGAACTTGCGGAGTAGGTGTTGAAGTAGCTGGCTGGTTTGTGACGGATGGCTGCTGCTCCTTTGGTGGTGATGGAACGGTGACTTCCTGATGTGGATGGTCTTCATTTGATGGCTGAACTTCATCTCCACTTGGTTGTGTAGCTGCTGGTGGCGCTGGTGTGGCACGGCTGGTCTCGTTGACGACGGCTTGAGGGAGATCGATGATGGGTCCGCTATGGTCAGAATCTGTGTCATCTTCTTCCTCCTCTTGTGTTGTTTCCTGTGCTCTTGCTAGTTCCTGCTGGATAGAGGGTGGTAGAGAGGAGGAAGAGGAAAACTTGTGCCAATCTGCAAGGGACATGTCTTCATAGAAGACCACATCCCTTGAAACCACTTCTCGCTTGGTGACGGGATTCCAAAGGACCCATCCCTTGCTCTCGTTGCTCATGCCGATGAAGAGGCCCCAATGAGCTTTGCTGTCCAGCTTGAGTCTCTTTGCATCTGGAACACGGTATTGGGCCATGGAACCAAAAACACGAAGCATAGAAAGATCTGGTTTAACTCCAAACCAAGCCTCATATGGCGTTACACCATCCGGTAGGGGCCTTGTGGGTCTCCTGTTGCGAACATAAATTGCCATAGTGATTGCCTCACCCCACCAGAGCTTGTCAAGGCCCTTAAACTGAAGAAAAGTGGTAGCTATAGCTTGAATAGTGCGATGAAACCTCTCTGCCACTCCGTTTTGCTGAGGACTATAGGGACAAGTGA